ATTTCTTGGTTGTTCAAGGCTATAGAGTCTTTGAACTTCAGAAGGTCAGAATTTCCCTCGACAGCCTAACTCCTTCTGCCTTCAGTGAACTGGGGACTCCACCTCCTTGTGACCTTTTGCTTCATACCCAGTAATCATTGACCACCTTTCACTGGCACCAAATCTGCAGATCTGGAGAACCAAAACATTCTTCACAAGCTATAGAAAAATACCACTATACTCACGACTAAAATGTGATTGACGATGGTTTAAACAGCTCAAATGTCCTAATCCAGCAGCAAATACAGGTAAAAATCAGATGTCATTCAGCACATCTGTTTCAGGATGGAGGTTTCTGTAGAAACTCCAACTTCAGTATCACCAGAGCAAGAAAAATGGGATACAGTTGAATACCAAAATACTTCTGGAGATGCACATCACAGACAGCAGAGAGGACCAAAGAGATATTTAATCTTGCGTCTTATCAGCTACAGGACTGAGTGGTGTAACACACTAAAATACATTTAACAAACACCTCACATCATCAAAACTATTAACGGTTCTGAAATTGGCCCCTTGGCAGTTCAATTATCCAAACTCAAGGATGGGTTTGGCTTCCCAGATATTAATGTGCAGTCAATTCAATTGTCGATGGGCAGCTCGACATGGCTGCAAATCAGCAGTGCTGAGGATGCACAGCCCAGCTGCTGTGCCAGCCGGAATCTGGCAGAGCCCATCAGCTGCAGCACCACTCCATGCAGCAGCCCGCCTTGGGCCCAACATCCTACAGAAGAGATTCAGCAAAACCAGCAGGGCATGTGGAGAAGGGAGAGAAAGGTGTAGCACCATCCTGAGTGCTACACTACTTAGACTCAGCCCAGCACTGCTAGCATAAATCCTGTTCATGCAGAGACAGTCCTAAGCCAGGATCACTAAGACAAACCTCCTGTTAACTCCATCTGGTTGTGTGCCTAAAGCACCATGATCCTCAGCACGTGCCAGCACCTGCACTGGTCAAATCCTCCTTAATTTCTGTAATGTCTCAGATAATACTGAAGTTAATCTCAAATAAAATATCAAGGAATATGAGCTCCCCTCTGTCCGTTAATGTTTTCCTGGGTACTCTATAAAGTTGTAAACGTAATCTGAGCATCCGAGCATGAGACAGTAACTCATTAAGAAAGAGTACAGAACCAGTGTAAGGGTCTTAGTATAAGGTTAAAAAAAAAAAAGTTTAAAAAGTCTGTGCTAAAGTAAATGGCTGTGAGAAAACACATCTGCAGCTCTCTTCCAGGAGAAGCGCCAAGTCTGTGTGCTACAGTTGCTGCAAAATAAAGAAAAAATGGCATCGCTTTGCCCTAGGCAAGAAGTGAGAGAAGGCCTCAAACGGTCGGAGAAGCTGTAAAGAAGGACACTGAGAACACTCTGCCTTGTGTTCTGCAGAACTGCTGTGCACCCACCCCTAACCGCACATGCACCCACCCCATGCCAGCACATGCAGCTCTGAGAGATGCCCAGTGGGCTTATTTCCCGATCCCTTTTTTCCTGAAGGAATCGCTGTGATTGTAGCTGTTCCTGAAATCACCTGGGTAAGCGTGCCATATGTCAGATCTTTGGTAAAACAGGAAAACTATAGATTTCACCAGCTGGTGTTAGCACTCCGGGTCAGTATAAAGAAGCACTGTTCCTTTGGAGAAACAAATCTTGTTCTAATTTGGTAGTGACTCACACAAGTGATTAAAACTTTCCCCCAGTTACACATGACTTCTCAGAATTGTTTTTACGCTGCTGTTATGTGAAAGTGACCCCATCACGTGGCATCTCAGGCCACACCTTAAAGGAGCTGTCACCTTCTAGCAGGTCACCACACACACCAATCAACTATAGCATATGTCTGCTAAGACAACAGCCCGCATACCTGCAAACCTCTTCTGCAGTGGTGAAAATGGGGAGCAGGTTGGGACAGGACCCCACTTCAACAGGAGCATGCATCCCATTGCACACAGCCACAGTGAGAACCTAGTGCTGAGCAGCTCTGACAGCATCAATCATTTTGCCAGCCCCGGCTTCTGCAAAGCAATGTGGCTGCTGCTTTACTAGCAAGGATAGATGCAAAGCTACGCTGTATACAGAAAACCCACCGTGTGTCTTTAACACAATTATATATAGCACAGCAAGGCAGATGCAAAGATAGGAGAGAGATAACAATTCACAGTGGGTACGGGATACAGTTACTAAGACAACAGGCTGACAGCTCTTCTAGCATGTGGAGGGATCACTGAGGGAGGAAGTTCTTAATAAGCTCTTCCCCAAAGAAACACGAGGACTTCACCGCCAAAGTATGGATAACAGCTCCCCATCACATCATCCCTCTTCAGAACCTCCTGCTCCTCCTGGGACTGTCTTGGGTCACCCTTCAGCTGCTGCATCTGACTTGTCTGGACAGGAGCCTCAGTGGCACCTGCACGATTTCTACTTGATGTATGAACACAGACCCCTCCTTCTTCCCAAGCATTAAAACCAGTCGTCCCCTTCCTTCGCATGCTGCTTCCTGCTGACTTCACCATTCTTCCATTCAGCTGGACGGACACTTCTGAATTTTGCCCATGTCTGTTGTTTTCACTTCCCCCAGCAGAGACCTGCCACACTCCAGCATTCCTTTCTACAGTTCCCTCAAGCCCCACGTTATCCCCACATCAGTACTGACTCCCCACATCCCTACTCCAACAGCTGTCAAGCTGCTACCACCACCTGCACCTCTCAGCTTACCGCTTTTCCTCCACCTCAAGCAGACTAACCACAACTTGCCGCCCACCTGCTGTTTAGCTGTGGCCTCTCTCCATGCAAACCGGTTTTGAAAAAGTCTGTATTCTCCATCTGCCTCTCCTCCCTGTCCTGCATAATCACACAGCACCATAACTGCTGATAAAAAAATAACTACTATTAAAATGCCACTTAAACAAGCACGGTAAGTAACGTGCCACCGCAAGTACACGAGCACGGTTAGGAACATAACCACACAACCCAGTTACAAACAGCTTACAGCGCGCCGCACACACGTGCGCGCGTGTATCCGTGCGCATAACGCCGGGCACAGCCAACAGCCCATCTGCAATTCCCGCACAAAAGAAGAAGGGACTCGCAGAGGGAAGAAGGGAAGAGCCGAGGCGAGCGGCGGAGCCGAGGGCTCCCTCGCAGTCACGGCGCCGGGACTCAACACCGTGGCCGCGCCACCCGCGGTGCTCCCGCCCCGGAGCGGCGGCGGGGCCGAGCCGGGCGCGTCCCGGTGTCCTTGGCGCCGCCGAGCCCGCTCGCCCAAGCGCCGCGGCCGCTCGCCCCTCGCCCCCCCCCGCGGACGGGCCGCGCCGGGCCGTACCTGCCGGAGGGCGCGCACCGAGCGGCCCAGCGCCCGGCCCAAGCAGCGCGACCGCCACAGCAGCAGCATCGCGGCGGCGGCGGGAGGAGCTGGAGGGCGGACACCGGAAGCAGGCCCGGCGCGAGCCGGAAGTGCGCAAGGCCGCACCAAGCGCTCCGGCGGGGGGAGCGGGGTGTGGCGGGCGGCCGGGGGCTGCGGGGCGGGGGAAATTGCGGCTGTCTTACGAGCCGGCTGTCGAGCCCCGCCTAAGAGGTCTGCCGTTGCCCGGGGCGGGCGGTGGCTCTGAAGTGTCGCTGGGCTGCGGGTGCTGGTGTTCACGCCACTGGGTCTGCGCGGGCCCAGGTCCTGGCTGTTGGTGGAATCCGGGTGTGGCTTTCTGCAGGGAAGCTGTTCTGGTGGTCTTTTGCTCACCTTGCTGCGTCCTGCCGTCCTCGCTAGGGACGGAGCTGCTGAAAACGTCAGCTTGATTAGAAATGGGCAAGGAGGTCACCTCACAACTACAGGGAAGTAAGTCTGGGGAAAAACAAAACAAGAAGCCACACATAGAAACAAGCAAACAAAAACGGGCAAAAAGATGTAAATAGGCTTCGCTGGAAAGGAATATAGCAGGTCAAGGAGAATCTAGCGTGACCTGATGTGGTGCAATGAAGGCAGGGCCAGGCTCTTTCAGAGGTGCCCAGTCCCATTCCTGCAACACAGTCCATGTTTTGAAAATGTCTGAGGGTGCCCCAGTTACCTTCTGCTTTCTGCCTACTTCCAGGCAAGAAACGGTTGATGTGGAGAACTTACTGCAGTCTTTGAGAAGTAGCCCGGGAAAGTCAGAACTCTGGCAATCAGCATCTCTGAAAGTTATGCACGCATCCTTAATTTAGCCATTGGTTAATAATACATCAGTGGTAAACTGCAACCTTTAAAATAGTCTCCTAAAATAAATTTGCAATGAATATCCTTGGTAAGATTTTCAAAAAAAGATTGAAGAAAAATCAATAGGGTGTTGTCTCTGAGGCTTCAAAGATGTACTGACTGCTTTAAAACAAGGTAGCTGTGCCAGAAAGGCTCTCTACTAGGGGTTTCTCTGTGGTTTGTCTCTAGAGGGCTGAGACACTTGAGCAGGACCGCCTGGTGTCAACTGCTTTCAACCACAGCCACCTGCCTACCAAATGAAGAAACAAGCATCACAGTATTTATTATGTACATGGAGACGAGGTAGATGGCAACCTGGAAATGGCAGAGGCAATTTGGTTTCGTCTAACTCCAGGAACTCTATCTGCTTTTGGCCTCCCACACTAAATGTCAAGCAGCTCCATCCTGGAGCAGAGGTTGGGATGTGCCAGTGGTAGGAATATCTCTAGAGTTCCCTACATTCAGCAAGGTATACTGACTTTTGCTGAACATCCCAAGTGGAAGGAACCCACAAGGATCATTGAAAGGATCATTGAGTCCAACTTTGGCTCCATATGGGACCACCCAAAATTCAAACGCTGCGCCTGAGAGCATTGTCTGAACGCTCCTTGAACTCCATCAGCTTGGAGCTGCAACCACTGCCCTAGGGAGCCCAGCCACCCTGTGGTGAAAAACCTTCCCAAGTGTTTCCTATATATTGTGGACCCCTGGCATCACTACAGTAGGTACATCAGAAGCACCTGAAGCTCCAGGCCATGGGTACCGCTTGCTTCTGGCTGGTGTATTTATGTCATCTCATGAATGATTGTCTTGGGTCCTAGATGAGTGCTGTCAGACAAACTGCAGCTTCCTAGATCTCTCAAGGTTGTGCTAGTTGGTGGGATGATCGCATAGTGTTGCATGGAGGATGTTGGATGGAATTCTGTTCTCCAGGGATTGCCTCCTCATGGGCCTCAGCCTCTCAGCTGCCACAGCGTAGCTGAGCTGCAGAGCCTGACAGGCACTGCTTAGTGCTCTGCCATGGTGGATATGGGGAACTGATGGTCTGCTCAGCCTAGTGCTGGTGATGTCTCAAAAGCTGATTATTTGACATTTTTGTCTGTCTGAGGTATTTTGCTCAAGGTTGAAGCTCTGCTTTAAGTTCCAGATGTCCTTATCTCTGATAAACAACCTTCCCGAGATGGGATGTTTCTCTTCAAAGATTCAAGACTGTCATAAATTAGACCCACAGGGACAGCATCCTTGAGATGAGGGCACAAGTCCAAAAGAGAAACCAATCAGAAGAAACTAAATGTCCTTGTGCCCAAATACGGATAAAGTGAGCAGTAGGATGCCTCCCCAAACAATCACTGAAGACCCTTGTGCAAGCACAAGAGATTCAAATGTTATGTAACCTTATACTTACATAAACCTATGAATATGTAATGGATAGGTGTCACTTATGTATTAGGTAGGCATATAGTGAAAACTTTTGACTCTAAATGGAAGCCAGCATAAAGACTCAGAGCACTTGATATGTGAGAATATTCCACCTTGTGCCCTGCCCAGAATAAAGCAACGTCTCCTCTCCAAACACTCGTCCTTTTGAATGTGTTTTGGGAGATATAGAATCAACAACGTTATCATTTCTGTAAGCCTGGGGGATGCTGAGGCAGGTGGCCAGACCCCTGGACATCCATCTGCATATTCAGGAGTTGTTCCCAGCCGGTTGGCTGCCTCCGGCCACCCCACTCCCTCTTTATAGGACATGAGCATAGCGGGAGGACTTGCTGGGTGGCTTCTTCAGCATCCTGCAGCACCCAGCACACATCCTGCACCTTGGCAGCCCAGGTGAGTGGAGCACAGAGGGGCAAGCGGCTTGGGCTGGGGCTCCTCACTGGTGGCAGAAATGGAACGGTTTGGGAATGCTGTGGGGTGACAGGCTGCCCAGTGTGTGGTGCTCCCAGAAAGAAGTGGATGGGGAGCTCTGTGGTGTAGCTGCTGTCTGGGGAGGACATACCTGCCAGCTTCTCTGGGCATCCTCATTTTCCTCTGTGTTTTTTTCTTCAGTTTGGAGGAGCATCTGTTTCTTTTTACTATTTTGGAAGACTGCACTGGTAAAGGCTGGTAGCAGGAGCAGGAATGGGAGCACCCACATGCAAACTGCAGGGAGAGGACCCCGTTAGTGGGAGCAGTTTACTTGGGCCAGGAAATGGGGCCAGTCTGGATACAGATTTATGCTGGAAAGCCCCTTGCTTTTCTCCCATTCTCCAGCTGACGCTCCCTGTGTGGAAAGTCTGAACAATGAATGAGATATATGTGTATCTTGCATTTGCTGTGTGGCTTTACCATAAGCAGCTGCTACTCTGAGGAGCAGTGTGTGACTGAGGGTGAAGCAAGCTGTGAAAGGGGTGAGCAAGAGCTGCCAGCAGCCGGGCCTCATGCTGACCTTGGGCAGAGCAAGTAGCCACACTGCTGGGGAAATGGAAACCTCACGGCTGGGAGGGAGGGGAGGCTACACAGAGGACAACAAGTGCTGTCAGGCCGTCTGGAAAATGGTTTATTACAGATAGAGCAGCAGTAGAGGATGCAGAAAGGTGTGACTGAGGAGGGGAGGGGGGAAATGGTCTACCAAAATGAAGGGTCAGTGCAATTTACAGGGAAGACAAGCCTGGGGACCTGCACTGGAGTGATGTGTAGTGGTGTGTGATTGCTCTCCCAAACACCAGCCTGGAATAAAGGGCTAATTGATAACAAGCGACCTGCTGAAAAGAGTGAGTAGAGGCTTTTTTTTTAACACCACTCAGTAACATGGTGCAGAGAAAAGTCACGGGGACAGGAGATTAACAGCACTGAAAATGATCAGATGTATCTGGATATAGGTGAAAGAATCTCAGACCCTTTAAAGATAGCTCAAAAAGGCATAAACCACTTAGGCATGCAGAGCTGATGCTAATTAATGTGGTTCGTGAGGCAGCATCCCATAGGGATTGTTACTCTTTAACAGACCAGGATGTGAGCTTCTGCTATTCCTGTTTTAAAGGTGTCAGAGCGAGCAAGAGGAGGGGTGGCTGGCTGGCTGCACTCAGTGTGACAATTTTAAGCCTCAGGCTGCTGGCTCAGAAATTTTTCTCTTCTCCAGTAATCCCCATCCCTTTTATTCTCTGTTTTGACAAGCCCTTAGCAGCACTATCCCAGCATGTCCTGCTAGTAGTGGTCATACTGTGCTTTTTCTGCTTCTAGCCCCTTGCTGTGCCCCTTCCCACCACCCCAGCATAGGGGGATGGCAGATGCTGCTCATCCTCATGCCCTCAGGGCTCCCACTGCTCCATGCTGTGAATGCCTTCTGTAGAGCTCTGGCTGCTGTCCTTATTCAGGGCACCCTGACAGTGCCCAGTGGCAGCTGCAAACACCTTTGCCTAGGTGTACCTGGGGGAAGGCACTATCTGGTGCTCAGTGCCCTTGTACCACAGTCCATGAGCTCAAAGGGGACGCTTGCCAAAGGTGATCTCCCTTTCTGCTTATCACTCCGAGCCTATGCCCCACACACCTGTTACCTGGGGGCAGGGGAGAAATTGTGGTCAAGACACAGTGAGATGGATCTTCAACCCTTCCGGAGCAAAGCTGTGGTGCAGAGAGCCCTCACTGCTGGGCACATTCAAGGCCCAAACCATTGGGAGTGAGCTCTAGGCACCACAGATGCTTGCTGTCAGGTGGGAGCTGGGAAAATCTCTCATGTGAGCATGCATGGAGGGTGGCTGTATTTGGTTCTGCCAGGTGATACTTTACTCTTTCTTCAGCTCTGTACCTCCAGTTGGCAGAAGCATTGCTGCGAACGCCTGCCAGTCTGTCCCTGGAAATGATCCCCTACCAGTTGCAGGGTAGCTCACTGGTGCCCAGGCAGAAAGAGGACACAAGGAGTGGCAGGTCTGCTCCCGTGCAGGACAGAGGCTGTGTTACCACAAAGCACCACCAAGGGATGAAAACAGAACCCTGTTTCCAGAGGGACCCTCTGTTGCCTTCCCCTAGCTCATCCCTCGTATCACAGCTGCTCAGCCACACTACAGTCAGCAGGAGCCTGGACCCCTGCACCTTTTTCCCTCCCTCTGCAGTGGAGCCGCCCCAGGGCTATGAACTTGGTGTGCCTCTCAGAGAAGCAGCACAAATCCTGGCTAGCACCAGAACCTGTGGCCCCGTTCCTGTGCCCTGTGCAGCTGATGGGGAGCAGCTCTCCAGTGAGTACCTACAAGCCAAGAGGGCTAGGGTGGAGAGCATCATCCAAGGCATGAGCCTCCCTCCAGCCCACCAAGTCTTGGAGGGAGGTTTGGGGCAGGGCAGGGAGAGAGGTGGGGAAGTGCCTCACTGGGGCAAGAGGAAGCCGAGGGTACCTCAGCAGCAGAGTGCGGGAGTGGCTGGGCAAGGGGCACCTGCCACGGGCAGCCCCCACACAGCAGAGTGCCAGCAGCTGAGGGAGCAGCTCTGCTTTCTAGAGCAGCAGCTGAGGTGGCTTCAGGAGAGGTTCTCCCAGGTCTGTGACTCTGAGGATGCTGCCCAAACCCAGGAAGGTGCTGAGAAAGTACAGCTGCTTCCTGGAAAAGCTGGAGACAGAGTGGGCAGGGATGGCACTGTCACCACCCACCATCCACACACAGCCACTCTCTGGGAAAGCATCCTGGAGGTGGATGGGTCCACCGCAGGGGAGGACGAGGAAGACAGAGGCAGTGCAGGCATCCTGCCCTCCGTGGCCAGGGTGCTCTCTCAGGCCCTGAAACACGAGCTGGCTGGGATGACATCCCGTGTGGTGGACTCCGTCTTGAAGACCGTGTGGCCAAAGGCAGCCAGCCACCTCCTACAGCAATGGCTAGAGTTAGGGCCAGATGCCAGAGGAGAGTGTTTTCCTGCTGGGAAGGGCAGAAAACCACTTGCTAAAGCACCCTCCTCAAGCACCCTGAGCTCACGTCGGCCAGAGGCACCATCACTATCATTGGGGAAGAGCTCTCAGGCCAGATCCTTCAGCCCAGAAGGGGTCAGAAACCTCCGTCAGGCACCCAGTGTGGGTCACAGTCCAGGCTCAGCTGCCCCAGCAGTACAGGACAGTCAGCTGCTGGGCCAGCTGCTGGTCTACACCCCACACAACCACTGGGAGAGCCCTACTGCCTCAGAGAGTCGGCGCATGGAGCCCACAAATGCACGCTGGGCAGTCACCAAGCTGCGGCCATTAGCAGTGAGGCCCCTGGGCCCTGACATGGTGGAGGGGAACAGAACACCTCTTACCCCTACCCACGTATCCTTTGGGGTAGACGGAGTGACTTGCTCCTCAGGGTGATGATGGGAAAAGCCAACTCTCAACTACTTAAATACTGAGTAGTCAAACACTGGAACAACCTTCCTAGAAAGGTGCCTGATGTCCCACATCTGTCAGCATCCAAGGGATATTTGGATAATGTCCTTGTTAATTTGCTTTAACTATCCCGGCACAGGTGTCCTGGAGGCTGTGGAATCTCCTCCTTGGAGATCTCCAAAAGCCACCTGGATGTGGGCCTGGGCACCCTGCTCTGGGTGTCCTTGCTCAAGCAGGACCCAGAGGACCCTCCTCAGCCGTCCTGTGACACCAGGCTGTAGGGATGGGCTATGACAGACCAGAGCTGCTGTGTGCAGGTTTTCCTTGACTCCAAGCCCACATCTAGGAGGCACTGACCCCTGGCCACCTGAAGAAGGCCAAGCTGATGTTCTTCTTCACCCGCTACCCCAGCTCAGCTCTGCTGAGGTCCTACTTCCTTGACGTGCAGGTAGATGTGCTGTGGGATGCAGGGTGGGATCGCGGGACGTAGGATTTTGGTGCTGGTTTGTTGAGAGCCCACTTCCCCCACTGTGTCTGGACAGTTCAGCCGCTGCATCAACTCCCAGCTCATCAAGTGGTTCAGCAACTTCCGTGAGTTCTACTACATCCAGGTGGAGAAGTTTGCCCGGCAGGCCCTGCTGGAGGGCGTCACGGAGGCCACGGCCCTGCATGTCTCACGGGACTCAGAGCTCTTCCGCACCCTCAACATGCACTATAACAAGGGGAACGACTTCCAGGTGAGGGGCTGGGGTGTGGGGTATGGGGCCCACTTACTGGGGCCCACCTGCTCATCTGTCCGCAGGTGCCCAGCTGCTTCCTGGAGGTGGCAAGCCTGACGCTGCAGGAGTTCTTCAGCGCGGTGCGGGCGGGCAGGGATGCCGACCCCTCCTGGAAAAAGCCTATTTACAAAATCATCTCCAAACTGGACAGCCACATCCCTGAAGTGTTCAAAGCTGTGGGCTGCTCCCAGGAGCTGCCCCACAATTGATCTGCCAGGCAAGGGGCCCTAGAAGGTTTTGGGTAAATGCTGGTGGGGTGGGGGAAAGGCAGCTGTGCTGGACAAATCCTGGACTTATGGCATCCATTGTTCTATTTCTGTCCTATAAGACAGTGTCCTTGGGTGAAGTCTACAGTTTGCTCCAGGCATCAGGATGTTGTGCTATACGTTTCATTTGGCTGCTCAAAGGCAGCGGTGGAGACCCATGGAAAGAAACACGGAGAGGAAGCCAAATGCCTAGAGCCTGGAAATGGCTGCTCTCCTCCTGGCCCTGCTCCAGCTTTCCCCAGGACCTGGGCCAAGCCACCTTTCTCCTCCTCTCCACAGGGCCACAGATAAGGGCAAGTAGCCCTTTTTGTTTACAGAGCAGGCAGAGCTCCCAGCAGCGGGCATCATTTCCTTGGCACGGCTGTCCAAGGCACTGTGCCTGCTCCAACAGCACTCCTCAGGCCCTGCCCAAAAACAACACAACAGCATCCAAAGCAAACATCTGCTGAATTCCAGCATTTCAAGCAGCCCATGAGGAAGGTTGACCCTGTCTGAGAGACATCAAACTGTTTGTGTCAGCCAGCACAAACAGCCCCTTCCCCGCCTCACCAGTGTCCTGCAGAGGAGCTGAAGCTGGACAGCGTGACTTGTGTTGGAAGGGGTCAGGCAGTGGTGGAAGTGCTGTGGGGTGCCTGCTGGGTGCTAGAGCACAGCAAAACGCATGGAGAGGAAAATCGATGCTGCACAAGCAGCAGGGTGCCTGTAGCGGAATGGCAACACCTCATGGCTGAGCAGTGCAGTGCAGGTAGGCTCCACAGGGGCTGTATTACAGTGGCCCTTGCCATTGTGAGTGGGGTTAGCTACATTCCCTGTCTGGATTTGTATATTAATTGCTTGAGGTCTGTATGTTGTGCAAACCCAACTCCAAATTTACTCCATCTATTTTTAAATAAATACAGCTTACGTTACCACTTTACATCCCCAGAGACCTCTCTGATAACTTTTTCTCTAAAGCTTTACCCTGGGAATTTCTTGCATTTTGTTGGGAAAGAATAACCCCTTGAGAGAAGGGCTTCAGTGGCTGTGCTATTGATGGTGTGGTACATACTTTCATGCAGCCTGGTTGTGCTCAGAACACAGCAGGCAGTTTTCTCTTGAAGACAAATGCCTGGCACATGGGGATTTCTATTGGCAAAGTGTGCGTGCTTGTAGGGCTGGGAGAGAGGGAAGAGACTGCACCCACCACCATGGCAACAGTGACCTCCCCATGTGTGAGTGTCCTGTAAGAGTTGCTTTTTCATTTTCCACTAATTATTCAATGAAACAACAGGGGTAGCAAACTCACATCTTGCTGACTCAGTTTTACCTTTAAAGCAAAATCAGCTATTTCTCTGTATCCAAACATTTGTGATACATGCATAACATCCCCATTACCATCAGTAGCCATCTGCTCTGGGAACAGTCCTGCATTGCCAATTGCATTCCCAGTCTCTCCATAGCACTGCACGCAGTGCACACAGCTAACAGCAGCAGATACTGCTGAACCATAAATACTGCTGTTTCGCTGCCTCCAGGCTAAGTGGCAGGAGGCAGCCGAGAGAGGGAGATGTAACCACATCCATATCCTTAGAGCCCTTAACACTTACTCATGTCCATTATTATGAAATGTAAGAGCTCTCATTACTCACACAGAGCTAATCGGAGCTTGAGGCAGTCCTTGCTGAATGCTGAGCCTGGGTGCCACAGCAGCCTAGGGGGGAATTGACAAGCAATTAAAGATCTTGCCTTATCTTTACTGCTACTAATGGCCTGGGTCTGTCCGCAGAGCCTGAACTGGACCCTGAGGTTCCCAGCTGAAGCAGAGGTTCTTGGAAAGAATCTTCCCATAGATAACACCCTGGATACAGCAGCTTTCTCCATGCTAAGCCAGTGGCCAATAGTCATGAAATCTCAGCATTTGCTGTCCCATTGTGTGCTCTTGCTTAAGAGTTCAGAGGGTAACTTTCACTTTATATATTAGTGTCAAACACCATTCCTGGTTTTGCTGTTCCAATAAAACCTGCTGTACAAACACTCTCTGGGACTACTGCCCATTGCCTACCAAGCAACTGTAACCACACAGCAGTAAGTCCAACTGGCACAAGCCAAACGTGGCAGCCCCCTGCTGGTGTTTATTGCTCAGGCTTTTGTGGCTTCCTTACTTGCTCTATTGGATTAACAAGGATCAGGCTTCAAAGTGCCAGCCTGTAATGAACAGGGTCAATCTTTTTTAATCTTACCAAACAAGAAGCTAAAGGCAATGGTGAGGTGGAAAGCTTGAAGAGTATGAAAAATACATGACTGAAGAAAAAAAATGGAAACTTGAAGTATTTTACTGAATTACTCAATCCATGTCATTTGTCATTCATAGCTTTATGCAAAGTACAGATATCATTAAAAATACTTTGTATGACTTTACAAAACTGGCTAAGTTGGATATACAACAACATAAATGCATCTGCACATACCCATATCCCCCTCCTTCTATAAAAGCAGCCCTCACCAGGCTCTCAGAGGGAAAGCAGCATACCCCACAGCCTAAGACATCTTTCTCCCTTTCTAGCCACCCAGCCTGTAAATAAGAAAAAGGGGAGAAATGAGGACCACCTTTGGAAAACAAGGTTTGAAGACAAGGTGAGCTTGTGGTCAGGGGAAACATGAGGCCAGCCCCACGTGTCCACACATCCACTAGCATCCCCATGGCTGGCAGTGCAATCTGTGTTCAAATAAAAATTCCAAAGGCTCTTTTAAATCAAAGAAATAAATAAAATCTTTAGGAACAGTAATTATAATCACAAAGAGATAATGCTTTACAAATCGTAATTTTAAAGCCACAGCACCCACTTCTTGTGAGCAACCATTGCAAGCAGTACAGAAACATTCATGTTGAGAAGTGTCATGGGCTATGGCTGCGGCCTCAGCAGCACAGCTGATGATCTCAGCTTTGGCAGCCCATGACCTCGGTGAGACTCCTCAGGGTGTTGCATTTCTTTTGTTGAAGACTGGGCCCTAGCACAGCACTGTGAAGCTCACTCTGAGCTCTGGGTGCTTTTCACTTGTGCACCTTGAAATTTGGCTAGAAGGCAGGTGCCCCAGAAGAACCACTAGAAAGTGCCCTTTGTACAGCTGGGGCTGGCCAACAGCAGAGCCACTTGAAGGGCACAAACGGCTGCTGCAACTGAGAACAGACAGCTCTGATGTGAGCAGGACCTAGCAGAGCAGCATCGGGGAGCTGGAAACACCATCTTGGCGAGTAGCTGTCCAAGGCTCTTGCCTTTCTGAGCCAAAGCGGGGATGTTTGATTGGTGATGAATGTTCTGTTTCAGGAACATCATGGCATTTTTATTATTAATTGAAAGTAAAGGAGTGACAACAGTGTACTCACCCACAGGGCAGCACTTAACTGGAGATCTGTGTCACATGTGTGAACACATTCTGTCCTGCAGTGTAATTAGGATTCTGGCAGCAGTGCTTTCTGTGCTTGAATTAGGATCCCAGTTGGGAAATCAAATCCTTGAAGATGGTGGGTTTACTTAGGAAGATGCTGCATTTCAAGTTTAGAAGGAATCATCTCACTCCAGAGGGAATTCTCTCTGAAGAAGTATTTCTGAGCAGCTACAAGGAAGACTGTCAAGAATCACAGGCCAACACAGATGTGGGACTATCCCAAACACAATTCTCAAGATCTGTTTCTCAACACGTGTTGAACATGAAGGCCTCAGTCAGTAGCCTGCCTGTTACCATCGTGAGGTCTTCCTTCTCCAGAACCACTACATGCCCTGCTGCATCAGTCACAGCCACGCACCAGGCTCAAGAGCTGTTCATCTGAGCCCTCTGCAGTTGTTGTTGCCTGGAAGCCAATGGCAGCAGCAGTCTTTGCAGAGCAACTCCTCTCTTTGCAAGCGATGCTGGAGCCAGCGTGAAAAGCATTCCATGTGAGGACGGCACCAACATCACCTGAGAACAGCATGTAATGTCCCAGAAGTGTGTTCTGAGTATTCACTGGCCCTTACACAGTCCCCATGACACGCTGGGTTTTGATAGTTGAGCAGTTTGCAAAACTCAGTTCACCATCTCTCAGATCTTTTCTCAATAAGTCTTCTGGTGCCGGCTCAATTGCCTCTACTCAGTACATTACTGAGTGGTCATGTCTTTGAAAGCATTAAGTGGCTTCTTCCACTGCAAAAAGACCACAGAGTTAAGAGCCCCACACACAAAACACGACACACATTGAAGGTTAAAGCTGAGAAAGGATTTTTGGACATAAAAAAATACCATCAGTTAAGAGAGCTGGGGAGAGGAAGGCGGGGAAGATACATAAATGCAAGTGCTGTAGGTGTAACTGATATCATATAGGTGTAAAACAAATCCAAAGTAATGGAGTTGTGACAAGGCAACTGCGGCATTACTAAAAATCAGGTCCCACATACAGAAGACCTGCATACAAGAGTCCTAAATCCTAAAGGAGCACTGAGAGTAACAGGGAGAAAGGTTTTGTGCAGAAATCTCTTCAAAATCTGTTTTCCCTATGAAGGATTTAAATAGGACTGTAGCATTTAGAAAATTCTCTGCCACAACAATGCAATTCTGTGCCTCTGAGATGTAGTGCACAAACAAACAGTACCAACCATTACGACCACAGCACAGCTTCAGATATGCAGTATGCCCCAGCCAACTGCTACGCTTCTCTCCAGTATCACCAGAAGTAGCATTTTTAATATGATTTTCAAAATCTTTGTCTTCTTTTTCACACAGTCAGAAAAAAAAAAAAAAAAAGACAGAGGAATCTGACACAGAATGCTGAATTCCAGCTCTTAATTTTTCATGTCTTACTGCCCTGTGATTTCCAGAATTCCCTACAACACTGACTGCTCTTGGTTTTGCTGTTATCTCACACCAACTTTGCCAGGGAAGATGCTGACTATGTGCCTATTTGTACAATATTTTAATAACTTTACTTCAAACTCAATGCAGTTTTAGTTTAGAGGCTTTCCTTTTTCACAAGTAGTGTATCAAAAGAAGGGAACGATGAAACAAGCACTATTTAAAAAGAAGAAAGCAACCTACATATTGCAAAAAGCTAACGAAGTTCCACAGAACAGAATCCATTTGTACATTCTGTTGTCTTGAACTCGATTCTCTGCAGGTCTATAGGAGTGCCACAAAGAGCATGGGGTGGGTCAAACACAGCAGACTGAAACTTGAAAAACAACAGTGGGAAGGTGATGGAGGCCCAGCCCTGCTGCACTGGATTAATCCAGCTGGAAAACTGAATGTAAAGACAACTGGTTTCAGCATCACACTTTTATTTAAGTTTTATATGACATACAAATGAGCTGGATCATACACTTGATCATGACTTGTAGAAAAATGCAGAATATATGGAAAATAACGATAACAAATCTAACTGGACATAAGGAGAGAGGCACACCGCTCATCTCTCCTGAACATCTACATTCACTAGTGTCTTTTGCTGTTGAGAAGAGACTTTCTTCATCTTGATGCACACAGACAAAGACAAACTAAGATAGAAGAAATCCCCAAACAGTCCACAGAAGGAAAATAAAAGCTGCAAGAAATAAATGACACATCTTAGAAAAAATAAATCTCTTAAACTGGAAGAATTCATATCCTAAAGCCTCAATCCAAAGGATTCATCTGAATAAGAGACTGATTCAGATCTAACTGCATAAAGAATATTTTCCAAGGGAACGGCCCTTATAACCAAGCTGCCTGTGGCTAAGAACACCTCGATGAAACACTCCTGCATCAACTCCGGACTAAACACCAACTGTGCAGATTTACAAATAATATCTATTTCGGAAGTTCTGTGTGATTAGGCATGGTGCACAGCTGTCCATGGAAACAACATAGCACATGTACTCGTTTACAGAATTTATCATCAGAAAAATTTTAGATACGGAGAAAAAATGTCTGAATAAAGAGAACTTCTGCAATACTCTGAGAGGAATGACAGTCTCTTGGAAACCATGCAAGCATAGCAGACACTACTAAAGAACTTCTCTCCAGAACTCAGACTGCACCTGGATGCTACTGGATTAGAAATGCAGTGGGTGGAGCAATTGAATTCCATCTTAAAAGCCACAAGACTAGGAGTTAGCTGCAGAACAATAGAAACCATCAAAGAACACGAAGCGTCAATGTGGATGGGCAGTGTTTTCAGATTTAGCAAAACACAAATCTTGCCAGTTAACTTCTGAATGCAGCACATTATAAAACCAGCTTAGACATAAAAGAGTGTAAAACCACAGCATTGAGATGACCTTCCACAGCCCAGTACCAGATACAACTGACGGAGGTGGGCTGGAGAAACAATCATTGAGAGTCACAGGCTTCATCAATTCCCCAAAATGAACCAGAGCCAAACAGTCACTTCTGGCTTTACTGAGGCAAGCCTAGCTTTTTAACCAGATCTTTGGCTTATTTTCAAGTAGGAGATAGCTGCACAGTGCCAGCACATTGCCCCCAGCACAGCATACTCACCATGACTCACCCCTACAGATTTGTCAACAAACAGATCAAAGGGCCTCTGAACCATCTTCTCAAATGGCATCTGAAGCACATATGTGGCAATGAGGCAGTAGCAGTCAGCCTTGTAAGACTGAGGAAGCTTATACCCAAAGTTTCTTTAGGGCCATCCCTTCAGCTTTATAGCAGATAGTTGCTGCCTGCTAGGAGAAGGGAAGGGAGATACAAACCTTTATATTCCTAGAAGAGGAATAAGGAGATTGTAAACCCCTTGGAAAAGGGTATTCACATTCCTCAGCAAGGAAGTGCCTACTGCAAAAATGTGCACTACATATATCATATGTTGTGCATTTCAATCGAAGCTGTCCATGTCAGTGTTTCAAGTATTTCCCTGAGGCAGATCCTTGTCTCAAGCTCAATCTCTGATTGATGTGAAGTTCTGTGCTTAGGTAAACAGATAAGCAGAGCTCTTCTTCACCAACTCCACAGAAATAGCTTGTTCTTGTCCACACGTGAGTATCCTATGGTGATGCTTTTAAAAATGAATGTTTTTACGCTTACAGGTGATACAATGCCCTTGTAGCCTCAACAGAAAATGCAGTTAATTCATGTGCTGCTTTTGTGTGGAGTAACTGCAGGTGAGTATTGGTCTTTCAGCTCTTGCAAAGGAAGTCGTCTCAAACATAAAATAAGAACATAACATTTTGTTCATTATATACATCATATTTTATCTTGAAATTGGGTCAGAAGTGACACTTCTGTGCTGTAGTTTGGATATTCATCCTTTTTTTTCTTCATTCCAAGGAATATTTTTTTTCTTTGTTCCAAGAGGAAAGAAATGAAAGATTCAGTTAGAAATCTTGAAAGATTTCAAAACAAAATTATTTATTGCTACAGTATACTTAGACTCCACAAACCAAATGCAGCTACTAGCAAGTTAAATCCCAATTTTCCTTAGATGTCAGGAGTTGTCAAGTTTTGGCAGGATATAAAAAGATAATTTCATTTCAATACCTCTCATTTAGGTAGAATGAAGATCTCGTTCCATTTTTATGCAGCATGTAGCTTTAATGTGCAATGTTTAACCACTGAGGTTTTTTTTCCATGGAAAAGTGCTGGCTTTTTCATGAAGTAGAACTTAATACTTTAAGATTGTAGTGGGCAATACGAAACCACAAAAATAAAGTGATGGTGGAAAGAATTTCAGACTTACGTTTTCTCTCCAATTAAACGCTAACATGAAAACAAAGTTTTAGTGCCATCTGGCTGCCATTACCTGAAAATTTCAGTTTCTGTGAGATTCAAACAGAAGAGTACAATGATATCTATCAGATAAGTTAATTTGTCCACATCTTCTTCAAATAAAAGGATTTGGCAACTTGAGTTCAAAGGAAGTGGAAAAGCAAACACCTCAAAGAACACCAGAAATCTGATCACTTGTACAGGAGTTCTCAGCATTCACAATGAATGATAAATTGAAACAGTGTAGATGCCCTTCATTAAGGCTTTGTTTTCTGTGCTTTGAACAGCAATATAGTATATTCAGAAGAAAGAAGCTACAAGAGAAAAGGCTTCCACCTGGATCAGCAACAGTGGTCAAGAAAACCGTTCTTGCTGTTTATGTGATACAAAAACTTAATAAAAAGATAATTTTTAAATGCTGCTTTGGATATCTTGCCTTCCACATAGCATGTAGTCACTGTCTGTGTTACCTACCTGTTAAAACACTTCCCCCCAAGAAACACTGCACTTACAATTTCCCTCTAAACAAGGCAACGATTTCAAGAACTGTTAAACTGAAGGGGTCTCCATGTATTCCTGAGACGATTAAGTGTTCAAACAGAGCAACTTCAGGCATGAATATGGGGCTTACACCGGATAGTTTGCATGCCATCCAAATAAAGCATGTCAGAAACTTCCTGTGTAAAGCTGAACATCCACTTATATGTTCTTATCCCAACCGGCTGAGGAAACAAACATAGTCCCTGTGCACAAATACAAGGGAAGCAATATGGAGAAAGACTTGAATGATTCCAATTCTAAAATACAAACCCCAGAGAAAGGTCTAGAGATTCCACGCAAGTCTTTCATGAGTTAGAAAAATACAAGGAAAAAAACATTCCATCCAGACAGCTTTAAGGATTTTCATTTTAAATTCTAAATCCTAAAATTCAAATTGATCAGACTCCTGACTAGAAATCTAATCAACTACTTCAAAACACTTTTAGTTATCTCTGAATTTCCAGAAATTCTCTGTACTTTGTGTGTGTGTGGCAACAGTACTACTTATGCTTACCTCATTTAAGTAAAACCATGAACAGAAGGGTGTATTCTGCTCCCAAACATCATCAACCAGCTAAAAAGTGATAATCCACCTCAAATACAGTCATTAGCAATTCTCCAGCCTACATACATCATGAAGGTCTAAGGTTCCAGGCTACAGATCCAATACTACAGAAATTTAGAAGTGGTAGAAAGATTTCACACTCACTAGAAAAATCCAGCAGCAAGAGTGAAACAAAAGAATTTCACTGTGAAAAAGAAAGAGATCGATGATCTTGAACATATATCAGAAAACTTATGTGGAAAAGTTGCAGGAAGGATGATATGGACTCTCATATGTAGGAACGTATGAGCAAAAGAGAAATCTACTTTGAGTCAAAGGAATGCATCTACTTTAATCTAATCTACTTTGAGTCAAATTTTATGAGTAATGAAGGTTGAATTATAGGCTCAAAATAAAGAGAATTGCGCCATTCATATTTTACATTCTAAGGAATTTCTCTCTCTTCTCATTTTTACTACAAGACAACCAACTTAAATTAGTGTTTCATGACACTTTAAGAACTTGAATTTCTTGTCATCCACTTACAGTTCATGCTGCAGGCATGCAGAGCTCAATTTAAATGGCCATCTGTGTTCCTCAAACACTTTATCTCAGAGTATGCAGGTTGTATTGGTGCAGTTTGACCCCAAACTGTCCACGGATCAAGTGAAGTATTGCAACTTGGTTTCCCAAAAGTAATCTGGGAAACAATAAATAATGAAGAGAAGTGTAATAAAAAGAACACCACATCACCAGCATTTGACTTCGAGGATGCAGACCAGGCGCATTTGCCACGCAAAAAGACTCTCATTACTGCTTCTCTTTTCCAGTAAACATACACTGGGTTACAACACTCCAAGAGAGATGTTGAGTTTCAGCCCAGTTGATTCAGTTAGCAGCTGGCAGAATTATTAGGAATTTCAAAGCAAAAAGTTCCATTTGTGTTCATCCCAGATCAACCATTTTTTCATGTCCTGAAGTTTGTTCAATATTGTGTTTCCATAATTTCATGGCAGTACTATTAATAAAGTTGCACAATCGGCTATGGGAAATTGAGTCCAAAGGGCATGTAACAATTCATGATAGCCACAATAAATAAATGGATTTATATTGGCAAATAATACCTTCCTTATGCTAACAATGAAGTTGTTTAGGGGGCAACATGCTGTTCTACAGGCTGAATTACTTCATTTCTTTGAAAAGGAATCCCACAGTGTTCCAGAGATGTTCTCAAATTGGAAAAAAAAACAGATTTCAGCTTGAGGTCTTGTTCTTCTAATTTCAAAGCACACTAACCAAGGAGACCATTCTTCTGCTGGAAGTATCCTTTCCAATGTAAATTACAAATCGTTATTCTTCATAATAAAAAGGAAGATAGTTAATCATCATAGTTAATCTTCATAACCAAAAGGAAGACAGTTAAGGCAATACTTTAAAAAACAGATATTAACAATAACATATTGTTTACAAACAGACAGGCAAGAAAAGCAGAGATCCAACTTGTACCAACTGCCAGCTCTTCCCTCGTAAAGATAGGAACTAATAATGCAAGGTTGGTTGTCTATGTTGATGCAAACATTTAAGAGACAACCATGAAATTTCCAAAAGTGATGTAGTAGTATATGGTGGATTTTTACTCTTGCATACCATAGTCAGGCCAATATGCTTAATGAGCAATCCTAGAGTAAAACACACAAGATGGCTAAAGATGACAACTAAGCTCTATCAATATACTCACATCATGACTTAGGTTGCAAGTTCCCTTGTAAAAAGCCCATTTATTCCTTCCATAAGGTAGGTAGTTCCAATATTCTTAACAAAGCAGATAATATTGAGAAAAACTGAAGTGCCATAAGAAATTGTAAATCCCAGCAAACACTCTTTAAACAGTCAACTTTGCTTGAGAGCTCAATTCTGCAGTTTCTACCAATGACCTTGTGCAAGGTTGTATTTTCAGACGTGCTGTGCTAGACAGAAACAGTCCAATTTGAAGTTAACACAATTGCATGCATAGTTCAAGATGGATCATTATTTAGAAGCACTAAATGCAAATTTTCCTATTTAGCCAACAATGAAAGTAGGCATTTTTTTCTGGTCAGTGCAGTGAGAGATTCTAATGCCAGTATCAGAGAACAGATGAAAAACAACTAAATCACAATCGAGCCTTCCTGGATTCTATAGCAAAGGTTTTTCCAGACAAAAAAGAAAGCACTGATCATAAGCTCTGACAACTATAAACCTAGTTGGACAGTCCCATGTTTTTCTCAGTTCTGCCAGCAGCAGACAAATTTCTCATTTTTGTTTAATTTCTTCATTCAACAAAGAACCAGAGTACGTGGAATCAGTTACAGGGTGCAATTCTGGCAAAACGTTATTTTCTTTGAGAGCCACTTAGCATAAAGCAGATAGAAAACTGACTTGCTAAACATTCAAACCGGATGAAACAGATGGCAAAGATCACTTAATGAGTTCTATGTGGCATGGCAATGGAAAATGCAGAACTTCACGGAGCCAGGGAAAACAATGGCAACAGCTTCCAAGCTGTTTTCATAGACGAAACTCTGACCTAAATTTGAGAATTTATACATTTTTTTCTTTCTTATCAGAATAAAGCATAACTTTAATATGCAACCTCTATTTAATTGCGATCACCACAGAAAAAAATCAGCACGATCCCTTTGAGTGTTATCAGCTGAAATACTTTTCAAAATCGTTAAAAGTAGTAAATACTTTTAACTAAATATTATTTAGCTTGGAAGGAAACTGTTAGACAGGACCTGGTTTAGGTTTACCATCAGAAATACAGAGAAAACAGTAACTGAAGTCAAGAAAAAAACATCAAATTGTAACAGCAGAGTGTCACAAGAACTCTAGTTTTGCTACAGAGTACTTACAGTAGGTTGAAAACCATTTGACGTGTACTTGAGAGAGAAGCTTCTCTGGTGCTGGATTTTCACAGTAATACACAGTCTACTACCTTTTGCCAACTATAGGTTTTCCCTTGTCAACAATTCTCAATCAGAATTCAAAGAACACTTGACAACATTTAGAAAGGGAGCATATACACTACATCATAGTGTACATATAGAAAAAGAGCACAGTCTTCATGTTCCGTTTTTGTATTCAGGAAGCTTGATTTTCTTGTATTAAAAACATCAAGGGCATAATGCAAGTTCATACACTCATGCACTTTTTTCCAAAGAGGTTTCAATCATACAACACAGACAAAGTTGATAAATGCCCAATAAACTGAATCATTAGAATGGCAAATGGAATCACCCTTAAGCATCACTTGCTCTTCTTAATGGCATAAACTACTGCCACAGCAGAAACAGCTGATTTCCCAACATAGAAAAAAAACACAATATGATTGCTCAGCAGTGCAACAAAGAGGAGCAAAGAAGGAAATTCTGGACTCTGTTAGCATCCCTCAAAAAGATTAGGAGAAAGATTTCAATTCACCACTAGAATAACAATTATTTTCAGATTTAAACACCTTGACTGGTTATGACGTTGTTAACACAAGGTATTTCCTTCAAAACTTGAGTGGACAAAACAAAGTTTTCACCAGCAAACGTGTGATACTGTGCAGAAGTGGTACGCCGCCAGCTATGAAGAAATTTTATCAGTTTTAGTACTGTGGAGTATTGTTTTTTCTTTTTCAGCAAGTTAAACATTTATTAAAAGAATAGAAGGTTATAATATTTGGTCTTTGTTGCTTCTTTTACAGAAATTCCTCTATAAGACAGTAGACTTACGAATGGAGTGAAAAAACCCTGGTAAGGAACAGCATTCCCTCAAAGGTACAGAAAGACCAGAATAAATTTTCTAGGCTGCTCTCCACAGAACTCTGTAGTACCTGTTCTCAAGTTCAGCATTAAATAGATGTTCTTCATACATTACTACTTGGAGTATTTCAGAGCCATCCGAAACAGTTTATACTCACGTAGTAATGGAAATTTGACATAGCAGACAAACTAGGATCCAGAAAATGATCATCTCCACTTTCCATGGAGAAAGAGTATGGTGTAATTTCTAAGGCCAGCAAAAGTTGAGGCCTTACTAGAGCTGTCTATGAGAAGAAGAGCGGGTGATCAACCTAGAAGACAGGACACATTCCAGAATACGAGCACAGCACCTCTTCCAGGTATGGACAGTTCTGAGTACTGTCAACATGTGAAGACACAGACCACATTAAAAGGTGAAACAAAATCCATGCTATATGGTCCACCAAGAACACAGAGTTTATAGTGAAATTTATTGTTCTGCTTCCTAATACAATAAGCTACAAGGTACATACAGTATAAAACGAGAACAGCAACAAAGCAAAGGTGGTAAAACATTCTGTGACAGTACAGTGGAGGTAACATCTGTCTAATCCTTCCACTTTATCCCACTAAGAGCAGCTAAAACTACTGGCCCTCCCCCTCCCTCCCCTCCAAAAAATATTAAAAAGTAAACTGTTTCTCTCATTTAGGAGCAGTGGGATTATTTTTTTTTGGAGGGCACTGGGTATTTGCCAACATCTCAAAAAACTGCTGAAACTAAAATAACAAATGAAAACAGTGAAGGTGGGAGTGACATGACCCATGCAAGATGTTCATGACACCTTGGTTCACATCTCCTCAGAGCAAGTGGCCTGCAAAGAAAGGAAAAGTTTGTTACATCAAGTAAAACAGCAACTAAAATGGACAGTTAAGATATAGCAAGCAAAATCTGAACTAGATAGGACTGGACACAGAGCTGAACTATTCTTACAGAGTTGCAACTATTCCTGTTAGCAGGTTTTGGTGACTGAGTGCTGACAATCTTTCTCCTTTAAGTTTTATATGCTGTACAGAAGAATGTACACTGAAAGCACACAGCTGACACCTACTATGTCGAATAATCTTGTCTGGAAGAACTCTAACAGTGACATGACCTGGAACCTCAACACTTTAAAAACAAACCAACCAATACACATCAAGGCCATAGACATGCAAGATGACCAAATACATACCTTAAAGGCACAAAATTCCACTTAACCACTTTTTCATATATACTTGGTGCGGTTGAGGGCTCTTTCTGCAAGATGACCACTTTCATCTGTTATCTTCTCCCAATCTGTTTGTCCAACAACAAAACCAATGGCTCTTTTCCTGTCTGCATCTTTCTTTTCTTCTAGGTCCGCCCACCGCACCTAAGGAGAACATACTGTCAGTAGGATACTCCCTTTAAAAACTTCTGAGACATATCTCAGCTTCCTTCCCATTGCAGATGAGTATGAGAATTTGAATGTTCACTTAGTTTAATACCAACAGATACCTATTAATTTGTTTTCTGATGAGTAAAGACAGAAGTTACGCTATTTTTAATTGAATATCCCAAATGCACCATGAAGTAGAAAAAAGGTATGGATGATTAGCATTTCCCATTTCACTGCTGTAATTCTGAGAGCTGAAAAATCACTACAACTATTTTTCTATTTAACACAACACTTTCTTCAGGAAGAATCGAAGATCAGTTTAGTGCCCCTGTTTCTGTACAACCTGTCTTTTGACAGCACAGTGAAAACATTGAGAAGGCTACAAACTACAGGAAGACAGCGTAAAGAGCAACTCAGTAATGAATGACTGAATGAGAGACCGCTTTCTTCTCTGTCTTCTGTGGTAGTTTTTTATGCATGTCTTTCCACTAAAAAACTTCTTCATACATTTTGTTGTCTCTCATCTTTACAGTTGCATCTATTGCCTCTGTGGCTCTTCACAGTCACGCAGATCACCTGCGCTCATCCTGTTCAAATACATACAGTCATTCCCTCACCCACAAAACCAGATAACTGGTAAAGGGGAGCACAGCAGCAGGGATGGAGGAAGGAGATGATGAACGGTTGTAGTTCAGACACTCAACAGCAACACACTATTGTAGAATGAGAAAAACAGCAGCTGAGGGACGCCTCCCTGACATCTTCAATGCCCTCATTTGGACAGGTCTGTTACTTCAGGACATACTCTTAACATCCTTCTGCCAGCACCCCTATTCAACATCTACCTGAATTTCCTCAGATATTCATACTGAGAAGCAATGTCTGCTTTATTTAACCACTTCTCCTCTGCAAATGTCTTAGTAACCCCATTTCTCTCACACACACTGTGCAGTATTACCTATGTTTTCTAGTTGACCTTACAAAATAATATAGAAAACTCAAACATGAATATTTAGCTCAAATTACTTTTAGTAGTAAAAACAAATGAACTGCGTTTCTGATCAGCTCATTCACTAAATAATAAGAATGATGCCATAAAGACCAACATTATTTAAGTCAGCTTCAACTTCTTAGATCCAAATTCGACTGTGTCCTGTACAAGATACACAATTCCTTGTCAGTTTTAATATAGAACTAGCTGTAACAGATATTTCTAAGAGTTTTGAATACATACATTATTCTTTCTCCCTCCCTTCCTTTCTTTACATTTTTATTAAAGTTAACATAATAATCTTGATACACTCTTACCCTCACGTTTTGTTTTATGCAGATTACTACTATGTATGTTTACAGTGGATAGAGATGGAAATCCAGGCAGTTGAACGTATGTTTGAACATAATGTCTGCAGCAGAAATGGTGAGCTAGAAAGCATATGTGATTCTGCGATCTGTAACTGGCAGTAAATGTGCTTCTTCACATATAGCATTGTTTGTATGGGTACAAACGACATCATCCTTTTGCTTTTAAGCAAAAACAGCAATCAAACTTCCAAAGATTAGTTTACAGTTATTGACACTGGCTATGCTTTGAATACAAGCTTGTGTATTCTTTTTTCCACCCAAGTAATGGTAGTTCTGACAATAAATCTAAGATTTAAGAGTACAGGACAATACTAATGTGCTATCTGCACAAAATGGTAAGTTTTAGTATGTTGTAACCAGTCAGACTTTAAGATGGAACTCTGAAAGTAAAAGTTTTTCTTTCTATTTTGGAAAACAAACAAACAAAAACTCTTTCATCTTCCACCATGTAAGGTGTGTGCAGGAGGTAACTTCTACAAGATCTAACCAATATGACACCTACAACAGTTGGCATTTTTTTCCTCAGCTGACCCTTTTTGAAAATAAGAACAGTGCACTGTTTCTCTCCCTACTTATTATAAAACCTATCAGAAAGGTAGTTTAATAAAATAATCATAATCTTATCTTAGAATACAACCCATTCCATAAAATCTCATCACAAAGCATATTGCATAAGTAAAGAACTCTAAAGGCTCCTCTGAAACAAAGTATGTCTCCTACCTCACTATGAACTGGGACATGACTACATCCCTCATAGCCATGCCATGAATAGTTAACCTTCACTACCTACACCTCCTCACTTCATTACGCATAATCTGTAGAAAACACTACTCTCAAAAACATTCTCCTACAAAATTTAATGTAGCACTAGAATGAAAAGTGAGTCAAAATTGTTATGTCCATAGACACAGATTGACTTCACATGCATTCTTTTTCACAGAGATTGTTCAATGGTCATCTACAGAAAGTTATTTGAAAATGTATTACCCTCTTCTTTCCAGGTTCAGAAGCACGTGTATCATAGTCATCTGGAAGCTGCAGATAATCTTCCATTCTGCTGGCAATTGCTTCCCAGTCACGTTTCCTTTTAGTGCCAGTCCGCAAACCATCCAGCTTGTCTGAGAACAAACACAGAGCCTCAGAGTTAAAGGAGATTTTTTTTTTCTACTATTCACACAAACAAAGACGAAGATGGAAACAGTTTCAAAAGAATGAGCAGCAGAACTTGTACATCCAGTTGTCTTGACAGGTAGAATGATGAGAGTTGAAATAAACTAGAAGACTCAGCACAATTTTCAAGTTTTATTGAACTTTCACATTAACTGCGTGGCAACAACACTCAGTCTTATTATTTGCAGGAGGGAGAAAACTTGCTTTTTTGGGCATGTTCAGAGCATATAGAGTATGTCCTTACAGATACAACAGAGCCAGCCATAGCTCTTTAAGGAACTACAGATCCACTTGTTAGAACACAATACTAAAGCTGTAGCATCTTTCCCAGACTTGTGTCAACCATGGCATACATGCAATATCAGGGAATAGGTGATAATCATATAACTTAATGCGTCAAATACAATTTTTGAAATACCTTTTCTGCAGAACAAAAACTCCCCTTAAGCTCTGACCTCTCTTTTAGTTTTCCCCAAAGGAAGAACCACCCCCAAAACACACAAAAATGTCAGAATCTTTTGTTGCATGTCGTTCACAAATATCTGAGAAATATGATTGTCCAACTGTCAACATTTTCTTCTTTTTCTTACTGAATCAATAAAGGTATTAGGAAAAATGATTCTAAAATTTTGTTCCTCTTTGGATACTTATTTTCAGTGAAAAAACAACATTGTCCTGAAATTATACGGTAAACTGCTTTTAGAAAGGAGACAAAGAAATTACTCATTTCAAGATTATGAACAGTAAGACATGAAAACAAAACCTGGCTGCACAAGTCAAAGTAAATCCTAGTAGTAGTTCTGTTGTTGTATGCTGCTGTTCTATAAACCAGCAACCAGTACATGAAGAAGAAATAATAAGCACGGTAGATGTATTCTGTGAACTATTCCAGTGATATCAGTAACATTGCTCAAAAGTCAGCGATGTAATTAAAATTACCCACAAAAGGCCTCTGAAATAAATCAAATACACAGCAGTATATTTTCTGGAGAGCGGATGATGTTCAAAAGTATGTATTTAAAGAAGATCAGTTCAGAGATGAGGTTGTTTTGTTTTTTTTTTTTACTTAATATAGGAGAGAGAAGGTGAGGCAATGGCGATGTGAACATGCTAGTAAAGTTTCAGTGCCATAAACTGGTGAAACAATTTCTCCCTCATACAACTCCACCCCATTTCCCTGCAACAGATACAGAATTTCTTCTAAGAAAACATTTTAATCCCCCTCTGCAAAAAAGAAAACTCTGTGCAGAATATTTCTATTTGTTACATGATATCTTGTTACGTGATTCACTTAAGATTCTTCTTTTGCTCTAAGTTAAATCTGCCAAATTTGAAGCTCAATCTCCACAGAAAGACGGTACTCCCTCTAGAAGACAAAATCAATTTACACAACATTCCTGTTACTCAGCACATAACGTCTTGCACTACTCCTTAGTATTACTCTCAGACTGATCTGTGTCGATCATTCACAGAATAAGGGTTTCCAGAAAAAAAAAGACATTCAAAAGGATAGCAAGAAACAGAGTGAGGAGCATTTAGGAATGTGAAGAACTGAGAGTTCAGGTGCTCTGTCCGTGTTTTATGTATAAGTCAGACACAATGTTTCTGGAAGACAATATGCTGTAATGCAAGTGTATCTCATTACCGCTGTGGAAGAGTTAGCTCTCCCAAGTCCCTGTTGCACATAGACAAATTGAAAACACTGCCAAGAAATGCGTAACTCATTACCAGAGTTCAAGAGACATTCAGAATATGACATCCCCCTCATTCCTTTTCGTTACTGCTACATGGAATTTATTTTGTTATCTCCTCCCATGTTTGAAGTTGCATTGCCTTTCCAGAGAGATCTGTTCCCATCCATACCATTGTGGTTCGTATGCAGCAGACACTCCAGGGTGATATGAAATGCCTACCACAAAACATTGCGTGGTTTTTTTTTTTTATTAAAAATACTTCCCTGAAAGTGAGACAAGGTGTCCTTTTGTAACAATGGTGCTTGTGAATATTTATGGTAGATGATTACCCAGTGTTAAACTGTCAAACAAATTCTTGTACCATTTCAATTTTAAAAACAGTGAAGCAGTAGCATTTTAAAATACCTACAGAACTTAAAAACTCACCTTGAGAATTTTAATAATAAGGTTTCCAGAAGTAAATTACTTACTTTGCTCCATGAAAAACTGAATTTATCAATTGAATAAATTTTTGCCATTCTTACATGAAAGCCACAATGCTTCAAGCAGAATGTTATTTGCATCCCAGAACAGATTTTACAATGGTATCAGAACTTCAGCTATAGCACAGCTTATTTCACCTTTCACAGAAGCTTGTCAACCCACACTTCAAAACAGGATTGCACTGAACACTTATAGTCAGGTTTTAAAAATTCCATTTCTGTGAGGGTAAGACCCTGTGCGTAGTACATGCTAAAACTGAAGTAGTACTGACTAGATTTTAAATTAAAAATGTGTTTGTGCAGTTATAACACATAGGGAAACAATACACCAGCACACAGTTAGCGGAATGCATCGTTCCTGCCAAAGTAAATGTAAGTGAAAGCAAGAGCTTGGGGCCAAACAGTATGAAGACTGGCACAATCAGCACTGCAGCTAAAAAAACTCAATCTTTTCAGACCTTTTCTGAGGCTTATCATGACCAGTAAGATCTTGCTGTGTTCGCACGTAACAGTGTCCATTCAGAAAGAAAACCAAAAGGCAAAATAAGACTTACAGTGTTGGTTTTGGATTCTGCACTAAATGACTTGTACAGACACATGCCTGCTGGGACTAAGGCAATACATCTAGTGGGCAGGCCAGCTCACAGGAAATAACCCAACTTTGGAACGACAAATGCATACCACACTTGGTGTGCCTTTCAGGAAATAATTTTAATAGGTCATCCATTAGAACGGGCCTGCAAGTTAATGGAATCATACTTACTTGTAGACTGCAAGTGCTTATAGAGCACACCCAGAGCTAGCAGCTCTCTGACCTTGCAGAGAGATTTTTCAAGAAACCCCAGCATTCATTACACGGGAGTTCAGGCTTTTAAAAAAAGTGCCTTACCTCTAATCTATAGTTCTACGTATTTGTAAATAGAAATCTGGGAGTTGCTACAAAAGTACAACTGCAAATACGGATTTAATAGAAGGACCTTTGCAGCACCTGTATCTGTGACTTGTAGCCAGTTAAAGTTCAGTTTGTTAATTGAGCTCTGATTGCTCAAGGATTATTTCAACAATCTTGCAAGCAATTTATTTTAGAATATAACTAATGCTGCTGCTGCTCACTCCCAATTTTACATTTATGTTGAGACCATATAAAAATCCTCTTGCATTTAGCATTATAAAGTTTCCCCATGGAAAGAAAGTCAATGCAGTTCTCTGCTGCTATCTATTAGCAGTATTTGACCATGAGCAAGGAAAACTTTGATCTGTAAATTTCTGCTGCAGTCACAGTCCCCATGTTAATAAAAATCAAATGTAAAACTGTTTTAGGACATCCTTTGGACTTCCATCATACTAATTATATGCATGGAATGAGTTAAAGTTCACTGTATGCAGTATAAATCATCTGCTGCTACTATTCAGTGTTTACAGGACAGCCTTTGTCATTTAGAGCAACACAGCATATCAGAGCCTGGCATTCTTCAACAATGAGTAGAAGAAAAAAAAAACATTAGAAACTTAAGACATAATCTTAAGATATCAAAATAATTAACTTTTAAACAAAGAACGCAGAAAAATCCTTAATTCTGTCTTCAAGTGCCTTGCTGTTTGACATGCTAGAACCACTGAGGCTCCTGTAGTTGTCTTGCAGGTGCCACAAAGCCCGTATATACCACAAATACTTATATCACTTAGAAAAGAGCACAGCAGCAAAAGAGATGATACAGCTTAGCAGTTAACAGCAACAGCTGAAAGGCTGCTTTACATGAGCCAGAACTTCCAGTGCTATTTCTGCTGTATAATGGTGATTTTGGTTACTGGGAAATAGTGATACACAGGGTTGTACCACATGTGCAGAAGTAGACATCAAAAATGTTAAGACATGCTGTATCCCATTCAGGTATTTGTTACTTCTCATAGATGTGACAAAATTGTAGCTTTATGCAGATTTCACTGATAAAATCTTGACTTAGTAACATTATTATTCATTGGAAAAAAAAAAAACCAAAACCCATAGCTAAAAATTCCTTCCCAAAATTTACGTGTTCTATCACAGCCTTGGTGCCTGCATTTCAGCCCAAAGCTTGTTTTTGGTTTTGACAGAATTGCAGTGTTAGCACTTATGTATAATGCAGCCAGCAGTACTAATCCAAAGTGCAGTAAACATAGTGCCCTTGTACTCCTGGAAAGTGCATTCTGCATCCCTACTAAGAACTCTATTACTCCCCTGGAATTTGAAAAGTATAATGAACTTCTAAATTACTAGCACATAAATTTTTGAAAACATAATAGTACATATGGCATTTTTGTCCACACATGTCAGTTTTGGAAAGCAAGATGCAACTTCAATACAGTTTTACTTACTATGCTTGTATCCATGAAAGTAAGAAATTATTGATGACATTTAGGTTGAGAAAAACATACGCAGTATGAACAAGAATGTAGTGTAATGCAAAGAGAGTCTTTGCTTTTTGTAATATGGAGATGAATAAAGAACAGAAATATTGCTTGTTTTCAATTTTACAACCAAATACTTTCCTTGAACACATAAAGAACAGTTAATGAGTATATAAAATACTGATAGCTAGAAAGTCATAATTCCCTTGCCTCTGGCAGCAGAGAGCATTTCCTTTCTTCTGTATAAAGGCTTTTACAGTTTCAGACACTTGTAGGAAACCCAATACATTTATTTGTCTTTATTAGGGAGGCACAGTAAAAGTAAAAATTAAAGTTTTGCAAATATCATCAGATACCAACTATAAGAAACAGGAAAAAATAAATACCCACCTAGCTTTGCCTCAGAAGTGTCCATCTCCCATTTGCTTTTCGGAATGTAACCCTAAATCATACACAGAGAGAAGCTCGGAGGATTAGAGAGAGATACACATGCATATCACTTTTGAACTGGAAACAGCATTACAATGGGAGCTTAAGGTATTTCTTTTTGTAAGACACAACTCTTGTTATCAGATGAAGGAAACAAATTACTCAGTATTTCAGAACTTCTGCATCCACTTCCCTTTCAGCAATTTTAGCAGCCCTTGCACATCATTACAAGAATGCTGCTTCCAACATAGAACTCCAAACAAGTCTAACAGATAGCAAAGATGCTGTGTGCACTATTACTAGATTATATAATCCCAAGTGGCAAAGTTTCAGCAACACAATTTATCAGGCATTAAGAATATTCAAGGCTTTACAAATACAAATGCAAAAGTTACCTTAGTCACATACTTTAAAGAATGTATTTACTACACACAAGTTTCACTTAATCCTTTCAAATGAACATACTAAATTCTTTTATAAAAGCTCAGTCCACAACAAAACTACTTTCCTATTTTTAAGAAGTCAGCATCTGCTGAATCTCTGAGATTTAACTATTATTTTTCGTTTAAAAATAACCCTCATCATATTTCAATGATTCCTTCCAAACACTCCTTCCTTACAAATAACGGCACCAAGTGTTTTATATGTAACTACCCTTAGCCAGTTTATTCCTTGCAAATGAACATGAGATCAAATTCAGCAAAAAGTATTTATTTTAGATATTTTCTTGTAATTTATTTTGTACTCTTGGACAAATAAATTCTTATTAAGCAATACCTTATAACTCCTTTTAGCTGCTCATGTTTGGTATGAAACTACATATCTTTCTCTGCAATTGCATAAAAAGCCCATTGTAGCAAAACAGAACCCTTTCATTGTTTTCAGGGTTTTTAAGAGGGAAAAGAACCACTCTAGAAGATTTCAGCAAGAAAATAAACAATCCACAGAGCAGTTTTAATTTACTAACTTGTTCCCTGCTCTATTTATATGTTGTCTCCAGTGTGAACACACGCATATTAGTGAACGCTAGGAGTTATTAAATCAGAGTGCATCATCCCAGAGAGCTACACTGCTTTTGGTTACATTCAGCACTGCTTTTCCAAAATCCTCGGCAGATTTCTCTTCCATCAAGTATATCTCAGTGATTTGAGATCATCAGATTTCTGTATTTTAATGTTAATCGGGTCTGTAATTAATACAAACTAAAGTAGTTTGTGCTGCAGTATTTCATTGTGACAGAAAACATTCAGGCATGTATGTATATTTCTACTCTTAAGTCAAGTTGTGCATTAAAAGTTTCTCAGAAAAGTTACAGCATAACTGGAAGCCTGCAATGCAACATGTGATACACTGGTGAGAATGCTAAGTTAAATGCATCAGTAAATCATACCATCAAGCACAGAAAAGCAAGAATTGTCTGAATGCTTCAAACAACCCTAGAAGAATTGATAATAGCAACAGAAGAGTGACTTGGATGGTGTGAAATGCACTAATGTGTGCTGAATCTGTGTAGTATCCAAATCCTCAGATAGGATAGAAAAAGATTAAGACCAGATGGCAGATGGAGCTCCAGACCTCTCTTTTTCCACAGGATTAAGAGAAGTGCAGCAAAATGAACTGAAGAACCCTTATTGACTGTTCTCAAGCCAAATACAACGTGCTGTTCCTCCTTTCTGTCTGACATACCTTTCTGAGATTAGCCAGGTGACTCAACAGTAGAGATTACACACAGCAGATAATTCTTTGATATTTATCACCTCTCATGAATCTGAACAGAAGGCATACTTATATGTAGATTACTTTTAGTTATTAATAATTTGCATAATTTTCACCACCATGGTTTCTCCTTGTCTCATAAAGAAAAGGCCTATTCTTATAATGTACTGTGCAACAGGACACTCCCCAAAGCCCATAAACACACACACATATGTATATACACATTTCTCTCAAAAGCTAAAGACAACTTTCTTTTCTAGACATAACTTATTTCTGGGAAATGAGAAACTAGCAGCCATATTCTTGTAAACATGGATGCATCTTTAAAGACTTCTAACCACACCTTATGCAGTCTCATACTCTGTCAGAGAATAATTTAATTGAGAGAATGAATGAGTCATACTGCAAAAATACAAAAACAAAAACCAGATGCTCATTAAAATCCACTCTTCCTAAGTTTTGTTTTTCTTATCCTGGATTTCAAGTGTTTTCTAGACTGCTGCTCCTGAGGAAACGTGTATTCTGATCAAGAAAATGGACTCTCTTCATCTCAGCTTTTGCTTATTTCCTGTTTATTGGAATTTAACTGCTTGGTTGTGGGAACTAGGATTTGACACTTTCAACTTTTTGAGCCCTGATCAGTTGTCACTCCAAAACACACCAAGGAGTTACACTTGGAAGCCTTCTAAATACATACTCCAAAGAGTCAGACCACAGGGCAATTCTCTAACCTTCATTCTTCCAAAAGATCTCATCCCTCATCTTGGAAATACCTACTGACAAAGTCAGAGTACTTCGGCACAGAAAGTACTCTTCATAACTGTTATCACATACTGTGATAGTTGAGATGAGTTCTTTAAACACGTGAAAGGAAATAAGCTAATTGAGCCTTTGCATCTCTCCACTTGGTGTGATACTTAGATAATCTGGAAGAGAGCGCTACTTGGTGTGATACTTAGATAACCTGGAAGAGAGAGCTACAGTGTACTGCAATTTATAAACAAACGTCTGCAAGAGGCATGTTGCCATGTTACTCTGATAATGCTGTTTGTAGCATACACTTAAAGATGATTTTAAAACTTCAGTTAGGAATAACAGGATTTAACATTGAAGTTCTCTTAGAAATGTTTAAGGAAGAAATGACTAGAAATGTGTGTATTAAGATGGCACCACTAAGAATGGAAACGGGTTGGCATTTACAAGGCTCTCCCTCAGATACATTAACAAGCATTTTATTAGAGATGGCTGATGTGTCTCCTACCAGTTCACTCTCTTCTTCCTCTGTTGTATCCTTTTTGGCTTCTTCTTTCTGGTCTTCAATATTTGCATCAAAATCCTCCATCTCTACCTGTTACAAAGCACAAACACAAACTTAAAAGGATCTGCTTGGCTTCTAAGTCTTATCTTTTAAGCAGGGTAAGCTGAAGTTCAGATAGAAGAATAAAGATGTGATTAACGTAGTTGTTTATCTCTAGAGCTCCTGGTATGTCTCCCTAAGAAGGATGCAACAATACAGAAAGACAGCATATCGAAGATGCACATTATGACAAACTGTGAATGGGAGAATGGAAAGAAAAGGCAGCATATTTATACATTAAGTATAATCTGCTAAATGATATTTATCTACCTCTCTGCATATGTCTGGATTTCTCATAGCAGGGACCCAGAAAAGTTTGTTCTTTCTTCACTTATTCACTTACTGGATCCAAATAAGTTTTGATCCAGTAACCTGGAAATGTGCCAAGCTCTGAGAGAGCAAAAATACTCTTTAGTTGGTCCTAACAGTTGCAAAAGAACGAAGTGGTTTTAACTCTTCCTCAAAGATGCATCAAGTCCGGGATCTAAAATAATGCCTCACAAAGTAGCATGTGCATTTGTGTTTACATATTTGTTAAGGATAATGGAATACACTTGTCTGACAGCAATTTTGGCTTTCTACAGGGCCAACTGCACAATCTGCTGTGATCACATCTTTCTCTGCTTTAAATTTTCAGAATAGTCACCATAGTCTCCGTAACTTGTCATTTTAACAAGCAGAGATATTCTTACCTCCTCAATAGCAGCATCTTGTAACAAAGAACGAATGTCCAGGCGCATCATGTGACGTGGTGCTGCCTCCCAGTGATCAGACATCTAAGAAAGAAAAACATAAAAATGAAGTACTTTCAAAAATGCAAGAAAGTCAAAGGAAAAAAAAAAAATCATAAGAAGATGAATCTGTTCTTATGCCATTTCAGTCAATCCCGTGAAATAACTACCAGCTCCTTTTAGAAGAAAGCTGTAGGAATTATGTAGACTAAAAGAAGCCAAGTTTTCCAACAACAGCAGAAGCAAAAATGCAACAAAACCTGTAATCAATCCTACAATTTCATATGTATACAATTACCCTGCTGATATCTTTTAGCTTGCGTCCATGAATATTCCTCTTGGAACAGGTCTGGTTATCTGCACTCATTTCAGCCAAGTACACCTAGAAAGAGGAAGACAGTATTAGATGCTGTATATTGATGCCATTAATCAATTTTCAGAGCTCTTTTTCTAACTGGTGATATAGGTCCTCTGTTGTACATTCTAAAAAAAGGAAATTTGTAATTGTAGACCACAGCAGTCTTCCTTAACGTGGGAAGGTCTTCGCATCCAAAAGTTCTGAAATACCAGCACACAAGTGATAGAAATTTCGAACAACTTTAAGACATTTACCTCAAAACCTTTGGTTTTTGCTGCACTCCAAAACTGCTCAAAATGTCTCACTCTATCATTGATAGCATCAAGGATAATGAAGGGGAAGAAGCCATCATCCAATGTCTTTTTGAAAGTTTTAAACATGCTGGTACGATAAGTCTCTTCCATATCAGCTTCATATTCATATTCCATCACCTGGTTTAATGACAAAGGCATTTAAGAATGAGGAAACTATTAAACTACTAATATTCAACTGCTGAATATCCTGACTGTGAAGTAAGAGGAAGTATGAGAAAGTCTTCTAAGTCAGCTTTCAATCACTCACCCATTCTGCCCTTAATTTATATTAGGTATAGTTATACTAGTCACATTAGGAGTTGGACACGATGATCCCTTCCACATGATGATGTCTTCCTTCCAACATAGGATATTTTATGATTCTATATTGACTTGTTTTTCAAAACAAGTCAGACCTTCACATTCTTTCAAAGTGACAGAAATTCTGATTGCTACTGTGTTGGGCCGCAATGTCTCACTTCTATGTCAAAATAAACAAATCAATTCAAAGTACCTTCTTTTTTACTTTTTTCCCTGTATCTGGGTCTCTCTCTTCCTTTTCTACCTCAGTGATGAAATAATCATCCAGGCTGAGCACCCTTGGTGCAGGTCCTCCACACTCTACTTCCTTATCCTAGGAAGAAAACAAAACAGAAAACATAACACTCTAAGGTACATATACAAATTTCATTGTTATGCAAGATCTTCAAAATGGTATTGGCAAACTGCAATTCCTGGCTCAAAATACAAAGAGAGCAGTATTCTTTACAATTGCTAATAGTGGACAAGATTCACATTCTACATGAAGACATAGAACATAGAAGACACAGAAATAACAACAGACTGGAATTCTAGATTCTGATCTTGTCTCTTCCACCAAGTCTGATTTCATTGTTTACCTTGGTATATTGTACAAGACAGAAAGAGCAAATAAAGCACATGAAAGAGATAAGCAGCACTACATAGTGAGCAGTTGTTTACATACCCTGATGAGTTTTGCTACATGCGTCTTTCCACTGCCAGGCAACCCTCTCATGATGATTACAATCTGAAACAAAGATCGTGTAAGACACAGTAGGAGACTACTACATTTAACCATCTCATATTCAAAAAAATTCTTCTAGAAAATCATGTGCCCTGGACTCACCATTCTGCATATTACAAAGCAAAGCCAGTACCATGCTTCACTGCAAGGTTTTACAAACAAGGTTATGATGCATGGAAGAAGTTCCACAGGAGTAATAATGTGATGTTAGCTTTCTCAGCTGGTATAAAACTGCTTACAATAAAATTAATTGAACAAATCTTGCAAACATGTTTTATAGGCTGGATCATGTTCTGATTTTTTTTTTTTTTTAATTAGTGTACTGTCAACTCTGACTCTGGGTAAAGCCAAATCTTTCCTTTGATAAACCAAAAACCCAAGCAAAGATCTCAGAAGAATACAAAACATATTCATATTACTAACTAATAGGAATTACATATTAGTTCACTGAAGTCCTTAGGGTTATGCTACAACACTCTGGGTTCCAAAGAAACCAACAAAATTTAGAGTGTTTCCTCAAACATAGCCTTCTTCCCAACATATCTCATGAGCTTTTGGTCTGAATACAGACTTCACAGAAACTGTTGCTATGCATACGCACCCTCTCTGGCCTGCTGTCTCGTCCTGGTGGCTTCAAAATATCATCTACATTTTTAGATTCTGGCTTTCTTTCCACTCGTGGAGCAGGTGGTGGCTGCCGGGGCATTGATGGAGCAGAAATAGGAATCCTTTCCTCAGGGAAATTTCTACGATCACCTTCAAATTCCAGTGATTGGACAGAAGAATTTTCTTAGTTAAGAAAAATTAAGAAGTTTTAATAGACTCTCATTGCTTTAGGATAAAATCATGGATATTTCCCCAAACCATTTCAAAGTTCTAATTTTGAAACTACTACTATCAAAGACATTTTTAACAGAGAATGTAACCACTTTCCTGATCTCATCTCCACTGCGGAACAAAATTTTCTTACACTACCCAAATATGTTTTCATGAATTCTGTATTCTTAATGAAGAAATACTGAAAATCAATTGATCTTTTCCTAACTCCACATCTATTAATCTCTATTTCTCATAGTATATTAGCATGTCTTCAGGACTGAGAGACCATACCTCCAAACATGGACGGCCCATGATCATATGCTGGACGATCTGTCTTTCTTTCATATGGTGGTCTGTCAAATCCACCCCTCCTGGAGGAGGGATGGTCTTTCTTGTCACGGTAAGATGGAGTTCTTGAAGGCGCAGTAGGAAGAACCCTGCCAAAACAGAATTCTGTATTTTCCTAGAAGTTCTACCATGACTCCAGAGAGAAACAAGCATGTACCGCAGCAAAACGGACAGGCTGATACACAACGTAGCTTGAATCATGCTGATTTCAGTAATGTTCCAAAACTACACACCTATCATCTCGGGGATGACGCTCTTTTTCAAATCTCTCTCGGTCATAGTCCACAGAACCACGCTCTCTGTGTAATTCCCGCTCTCTCTTGAAATCCCTGTGATCCACGTTTGAGTTGCCTTGACGCTCAAAATAGGGCTCACGGTCTCTTTCTCTGTTGTAACGACCAGGGTGCTCTGAAAAGAGAAATCCATGTAAATCCAAACTACTAAAACATACCCCAAATTAATTATTTTTAAAGGATAAACAAAAAACAAAAGTACAGGAGAAGCAGATAGAAATACATGATGCCAGAGCTAAAATGAACTTACTTAGCCACTGAACCTTTTCTCCAAACCCTGAAAGGCAACCAAATCAAGTAATCCTACTTAAAGGTAACAAAATAGGTCTTTAGAGTGGCTTGGTCATTAACTGTATTACTCCACTGGACAATATAAACTGTTATTTGAAGTGTCTTTGAAGCAAATAAAGCGGATTTGCTTAAAGCAGAAGTTACTTTGTTTAAAATACACTTCTAGTACCTTACAACCTTGCTGAAGAGCTAAGCAATGGTCTGAGAGGTAACCAAGCACTCCCTACCTTTTTGAAATGTTTGCCTCTCTGGTAGAGGTTCTGGACGCAGAGTTACTCTCTCCCCATATGGAATCTGTTCCACTTTACTGGTGGTTATATCTAGTTAGAAATAATCAGAAAACATTTTAGGTCTTAAAATACTCTTCCATTTCTTTTCCTCTGTCACGAAAAGCAATCAGTCAATAGTATTAGAAATAACTGAAATGACTTACCAAATTTCTTTTAATAGATAATGTAAAAAGAACATAGATACAGAACAGCATGTTATTTTAAAATCTGAAACGCGTGTGCATAGGTATGCATACCTCTACATCTTAACAATGGGACTTAATTTCTTTGGATAAGTTCAGGTAGTACGTGCAGTTAGATCATAAAGCTTAAGACTCTATGGAAGTTTCAGGGACTCATGGAACTTCTATACTATTAAGAATGTTAACTGACATGCTCACTTAAGATTCCTAATGGTCAGTTTTTTGTAAAACATCTACTTAAAGGAATCAATATGGCTTCAATTTTTATTTATAAAATAAGTATAGCATCTTAAAAAGAAAAAGTGCTCTTTAAGTGACAATTTACAGCTTATGAACTTCTTTATGACACAATCTCACTTTTGTTAAGAGCTTTAAGAATGAAAGAAATTTTAATGTTCTATTAAAAACTAATATTGAATTTTAGTTTTGATAAGCTTAATACTGAAAATCAGAGCCTTTCACTGCTTAGGCTCTATATGTCTGTTAAGCATTCTTGTTCCTCGGAACAGGACACTGGTGCCAGGGGGCTCCAGGTATTGAAGAGGGTACTTCATACCAATCAAGCAGTATCTAAACAACACAAATGTTAGTAACTTAAAGCAGAATGTAAGTTGCTCCTCAGAGCTGTAACAATCCAAAACACTTTCTAACAATTATTCCCATATTCAGGTATTAAATAGATTCAGGGAAAGTATCAGTATCAATCTGAATACAACACGTTGATGTGATCACATTAGTTGGCGTTTGTTAGAGGTAGATTCCAGTTCACACGGAAAAGCTCATTATCACAGCATTACAGAAAACATTAAACTCAAGACTGGAGGTCATGGAGTCATTACAAATTGCATTGCTTGGCATTAGATGACAACATACACAGCTTAATGTCAGCTGCAAAATATATAAAGCATACATTGCGTAGCATGTTCCTTTAGAAAGAAGCTAACGGAGAGCTACCTCTCAATTTCAGAATGAACATGCTCACTGTAATACTCACCTCGCCCATGGCCATAATCCACAGTTTGCTGAATTACAGGTGCTTTAGGAACCGGTGGAATAACTGGAGGCAGCGTTCCTGGTACAGCTGACGGAACAGAGGTGTGAACAGCAGGTGCTTTCACAGGCGAGGATACTGGTGGAGGCATCATTGACTCCTGTTTACGTAATTCATATTCCATATTTGCTCCTTTATCTTCATTTGTGTCCCAGAGTCCGTGGAAAGAATCCTCATCCCAGCGTTCCTGTTCCACAGCAGAAGGTGATGGTTTTAAAGATTGACCATGACTTGGGGTTGTAGTTGGAGTAGAAACTGGAGTATGTGGCCTTGTCATAGCTGTAGCAGGCCTTGCCAGTGGGGCAGGTGGTCTTGTCACAGGGGTGGGCTGTCTGAACAACACGGGAGGCTTTATAATAACAGCAGGAGAAGGTTTAATAGCTTGGGCTTCTAATGTTGCCTCTGAAGATAGCTGAGAAGAGACCTAGATGCAGAAAGCACTTTAAATAGAGATCTGTCACCTAATCTTCTCTCATCCTAAGTCAGTAAGCACAATGGCAATCTATAGTCAAATTATATAGTACCTCCACCAAGATGCTATAGGTAGGAGGACAATATTTCATGAACTGGCAGCCTCAATTAATTTAGTGTTTGTTCATTACATGAATGCTTAAATCTCCTTAAAAATAACCATAACAATTTAAGCTCCAGTAGGCCAATCTTAGTTCAAAAGTGTCTATAGTTTAATTCTCAAAGATTCCTGCTGTCAGTGAGGAGGCTGAAATAGTCTAGAAGTAGGGCAACTTGATGAGGCACAAAAGGATTGATAAGGCCAGCTTCTTTCTGGAAGCCACTGGAAAAATTCCCAGAGCGCAGTACCACCTGGAAAACTCTTAATGCAATCTGGCCAGTGGGAAGGTGTTGCCCAGTGAAAAAATAAAATCCCTTCTTCAACCCAACATCCTCATGGAACACCACATACTGTGCCACAGGAGTCTTTTTAGCATCACAGTAGCTGCCAAGTTACAGGCAGCCTCATAAGCAGTATGCAACAGAACTTGGAGAACGGTTGTAGTTACAAGCAAAGCTTTAAGTTCAAAGACACAGCAGAAATCTTAAGAAACGTAACAGTTGTTTGAAAACCCCTACGCAGATGGGTGAAGTATTCTGAGATACAAAATATCAAAGTTAAGGAGTGAAGTCATTTCCTAGAGATGTCATCATGTTTGTGGTTCTTGCAAGAAATGTGTTCTAGTACTTGACTTTATTAGACACTGTAAACAAGAAAGAGGTCAGCAAGGCAAAAATAAAACTTGTAGTGCCTCATTCACAGTGTAATGCTTCTCTGGGAGGAGGGTCAAAGAAAGTTTGGGCTGATTAAAGGTCAGGATTACAGGTCAGTACAGCCAAGTTTATTGGTACCAGTAACTTTCGGGCTAAGACATCACAAAAAAAGTCTGTGCATCAACTCAGCATCTCCTTCAACATACACATAACAAAATTGTTTATTTGTTTTAGGAAGGCTTTATAAATGTGAGTAAACATGACTGCAGAAGATCGGTTGGTTTCTGACCTGGTATGAGATACCAATATACAAACTAAAGCATCTGAGAAGAGTTCTCAGGACCAGTCAGGAGATGAAATAGCAGAACAATAAATTACATCACAGCAGGAAATGAAGGTATGGAGGTGCACAAACATGAGCTTTCAAGCACTTCACAATATTCTAGATGGTAATGAGAACTCCTAATAAAGACAGCCAACAGCAAACTAATGCCCACTTGGTCTGAGTTTCTGATGGAACTGTTCTCAATTTTCTTTCCTTAACCTCTTCAAAGTATAAAGAGCCCTTAAAGCAGGAAGAATAGAGCGATCTGGTATTCAAAGACAGCAACACCACGTAGCTAGGTGGGGAAAAGGAGGGTATGTCTTCTTACAAATCTTGCAAACTTACTTTACAAGAGCTCACCTCTTCTTGTACATCATCCTACAGCAATTTAGACTGTTAAATCTCATGAGCTACTGTCTCCTGTGGGCCATGCTTGGAAGACACAGTGAACTAAATGACTACAATAGGCGCTGGAAAATCTAAAGAAACCACAAAGTTACTTTGCCTCAACAAAAGACAGATGAAGTTGTAAGGACTCCTGGGGAGCTAATTCCATTAAAAAGTTTGATCATCAGAGCACGGAAGTGACCTGAAATACACACGGATAGCAATTACCACCAGCACGTTACATTGTCTTGAAATGGATTTACCTGGAAGGCACCTGGTCTCGTGCCTGTGTTCTGTGATCTTGGAGAGTCCTGCGTGGAAATGTCAGGTTTAAACTCTTTCAACTTTTGCAGCTGTTCTTTTTGCTCTCTGCACATGAATCACAAGAAAGTTGTATCAGTCTGTTGCTTAAGTGAGAACATGGCATTATATGGTCAACACTGATTGTGAAATCCTTGTTTCACATCCACCTTCCTAGCCATTGAGATATTTATATATTAGCTGCAACCTTTTTGACCAGACCTCCTCTGAACTTGGACAGAACTATTCTGCTTCAACAGTAAAGAATAAAGCTGGATTTTTATTTTCACCAACACCTACAAATGTGAAGCCCCATGGATGTGCCTATGTGCACCAGGACTCACTCTAGGTTGCATGCTGATGAGACTGAGGCCAACACAAAGCATAACAGAGATGCCAATGTTTAAAAACAAACTGGTAATGTTAGCTTTCATTGTCCTGTTTTATGGAGAAGAAAGCAGGACAGCAGCAAATGCTGCAACCACCAGATTACAAACTTCTATTCAATATGCTTTCCTTTCAGTTTTTGTTCACACTGTTTTCTGTGACTTTTTTTTTTTTAAATTGTAGTAATTCCTTGATTATACTAATTGCATGCATTATGGTAGTGCCCAAAAAACAACTTAGAGCAGGATCTCTCTGTAGTAGGTGCAATAGAGACCATCCTGACCATCAATGCCTCTGTTCAGCACCCAATGCAAGGGCAATGTGGCTCACAGAAAGGGCTCCCATGTGCTGCATTAGTTCAAAGATCAGACTGAGCAATTGCCAGCAGTTACGTCTTCTTTATGGCAGGCTTATGAAGAATAAACCTCATGATAAATAAAGGACAGTATGCAGCACCAACTACACTGTCATATTCACAATAAGAACAAAGCCAGATGAAGGCTTTACCTTTGGAGGTAAAAAAAAAAAAAATGATGTACCATACTACTAATGTAGCTCTTGGATCAAAAAAGTAAGAAAAAAAATCAACAAAAAAACCCCAATCTCCTTAAAATTGTCTCTATCATTCAGACTGTGGTCACCTGCTTGTAAGAACCTGATGCAAAGTAACTGTGTAACTAATCTTAAGAATATCCTCATATCAAATTTTAAAGCAATAGTATCAATATTATATTTGTACTTCTTAATGACTTAGACATGCATATCTGCACCATTTTCATTTCTATGTGTAAGTATTTCAGCTTGAATAAAATTATTCACTTCTGCAGTGGTTCCCAAAGTATGGTTCTACCCTCTCTTTTTAAAAATCACTTTTCTTGCATTTCTGCATGCAATTAAGGCCTGCCATATGGGACAGATGTTTAGTAATCTTAAGAGTTTGAAAACAAAATGGCTTCAAGAAAAGTGCAAAACATCTCTATATTGTTCAACATGGTTTAATGTAACAGAGATAACTAAACATTCACTTTAACTGCTCACTATTTTAGCATATCTTCCTTGTGAAATTAAAACTCTTGTCTTTACTAGGTATCAATCCTAAGCTGTCTCTCAGTTACTCACAAATAGGATGGGTCACATGGATCTCTGTCTCATTCACTGAATGTAATGGAAGAAACTTATCTTTCTGGTTTTCTCATGAATACATTTAATGTACCAAAACCCATGCACCAAATCACAAAGAAAATGTTTGTACAGACGGTGTGTGCTCTCCTCCTTCTTCTACTTCTAAATTTACTGAACCCTAGGATATTTCTGATGTGGAAGAGGACATTATTTTATTGCTTATTTTGATATAAATCCGTATTAAATCGTTAGGGAGTTTAACAGATGCTTTCTAATATGAGATCTTTGTTAACTTTCGCATTTTGAGTTTGCCTTGCATTCATTAATCATTTGGCACTGCTCTTGTGTTGATCCTTAGAAGCAATGTCAACCAAGCTGGACAAAATTATTCACTGAGGATGCTACAAGTTCAAATGAGGGAACATTCTAAAAAGAAAACAAACACAGAAACCACACTTCAATTAAAAATTAAGCAGTATTCAAAAATTAAATATGCTCCACTATGTGAATTAAGAATCACTCCAACATAGATCTTGATGTGACTATTTGAAACAATTACCAAACTCATCTGAGGATAATAGAATATTACAAAGTAATTATCAACAAGCTCTCTTGAGAATAATGGAAAGATTGGTCAGGTGATGTGGATGCATCTTGAAAAGTAACTAATGGAAAATGCCCTATTCAACAGGAGAATGCTGTTATTTAAGAAAAAAATAAGTTCACCCGTGAAAGCTGTGATAGCGATATTCTGAACAACTAGTTCCATGTTTCTACTGCCATTCTGTGGTGAAAAGAAATGAAGCTGTTAATGTGTAAATTGAAGAAATCGGGAAACAAGGATCACCTCCACAGAAGCACCAAACTATTCTGATAGCTTTGCTTTATGGGCCAGCTGAGGTGGGAATAACAACATGCTTAAGAAGCAAAAGCACCATGCAACAGGCTTGTTCTCGTGGCACCCATCTGGCAACTACATTAGTTAATGAACATTGAAAAAGGAGGTTCCAAGAGCTTGCTAAAGTCATGAAATTACATCAAGACAAAATTTTCTTCCACCAGACAATGAACATTGTTCTCAAGCTTGGAAAAGCACATAAGTAAGATGACTGCTGGAACTGGAAACAGATTGATGTCAAACAACGCTTCTAAGTAATTAGTTTTACAAATACATGAAGTGCATTCCCCCACATAGGAACTCAGCTTTAAAATTAGTACTACCTATATGTAAAGCAAAATAAAAAGAGAGAATACTTCTAAATGTATATTTTGTGCCCTTGAAACAGCCATGATGAGAAAAGGGAGTAAACAGTTTAAAAAACAAAACAAAAATGATAAAAATCACAAAAAAAACCCAATCGCAGAATCAATTGCTGATCAAGACTTTGAAAATTTCATTCACATCCAATCAGTCCATTTGGCTAGCTAAAGCTACAATATGATTGACTTGCCTATTTAACAGCTGAAACTGGATGTGGATTCACAATCCCTAAGAAATCTTTGGCCATCAAGATTTAGCTGCTGCTTGGCAAACACAGAATATAATTTGCATTGGAAATAAAAAAGAAAGATAGGTCAGAAGTGAGTCAACTCATCAGAACATACTAATGCATGACAAGAAACATTTATCATGAAGATGTCCAAAAAGAAATTAACATCCCCCATTCAATACTATACAATTGAAGTGTACCAGCTCAGAAGTTCAAAATTCTAGAGAACACGCAATAGTATGAAAATGGATTAAAAAAAAAAAAAAAGTCTACTTATTTTTCCTCCCATATGTGACAGAATCAGGCAACTCACCGAAGCATTTTGAGCTCCTGGGCAGCTTTCAGAATTATTTCATGCTGTCTTTGGCTCAGGACCATCACTCCCCCCAAGGACTGTTCTGAGTCCAGGTTGGAATCTGTTCCCAGCATATCAGAGGAATGTGAAGGTGGAAGAAGAGATGAATCCAGCTGACCATCCAAAGATCTTACTCTGTCTCCATCATCTGGATACCACCTATCTGACAACCGTTCCCTCTCCCAATCATTCCTTTCAGGAACAAAGTCCTGTTTCTCCCGCCACGTGTCATATCTCTCCGGATACTCTCGAATTCTCAGCTCACCTCTGTCTCGGAGGTCTCTGTCATAATGGTCTCTATTCCTATCCTCTCTCCACCTGTCTTCACGATATCTGTCCAGAGGTGGAGGGGGTGGTAGTGGTGGTAGTGGGGGAATATCCAGGTCACGATTCCCCATTTCTCTGTCATCCATAGGTCTCATGTCCCAGTCTCTGTTATCCCATTCTCTGTCCAAATCTTGATCGTAAATGTCTGAGGATCTCCCAGTTCTATCTAGATCTCTCTCTAGTTCCCTCTCCCTTGGCCTTTTCCAGTCATCCCACCATGAATCTCGTCTGTCATGATCAGATGATAAATGAGGTAGTGCTGGTAATGGAGATAACGGAGGCATTGAATGGTGAGATGGCAGCCTGTCATCTCTATCATATGGATCTACAGAATCATCCTGATAATCAGAGTTGTGATCTCTCCAGTATCGCTCTCTTTCCCAGTCATCCAAATGTTCGTGCTCCATTGAAGGATCATCTCTACTATCCAAAGGAAATTCCTCATGCATTCTCTCATCTTCATGACTCCAAGAACCCCTGAGTGCTTCATCTCGATAGTAAGGAGGCATGTTGTCAGGGTCATCTCCTAGGTGACCTGGCTTATCCATATTGCCTCCTGCTTCCCTCTCCCGGCTATCTGCCCTCCTGACAGGACCTCTCTCACGACTACCTGCCCTCCTGACAGGACCTCTCTCACGACTCCCTGCTCTCCTGACAGGGACCCTCTCTCTGCTGCCTGCCCGCCTGACAGGGACTCTTTCCCTGCTGCCTGCCCGCCGCATGGGCTCCCTCTCCCTGCTGCCTGCCCGCCTGACAGGGCCTCTTTCCCTGCTGCCTGCCCGCTGTCCCCTGTCCCGGCTGCCTGGCCGCCCAGCTAGCTCTCTGTCTCGGCTAGACATCACCCTCTCCCGGCTATCAGACTGGCCACCCATTGTCCTCTCTCGGCTGCCAGATCGTCCATCTGGCATCCTCTCCCTGCTCTCTGACCGCCCATCTGGCATCCTTTCCCTGCTGCCCGCTCTCCTGAACATGCCCCTACCACGGATGGATGCCTGCCTAGCCTGCCCTCTCCCTCTGTACACATATCCTCTGCCACGGCCATCGTCCATCCTGCCCATTCCCCAGCCGTGGCCATCGTCCATCCTGCCCATTCCCCAGCCACCGTCCATTCTTCCCATTCCCCGGCCGCCGTCCATTCTTCCCATGCCTCGGCCATCCATCCTGCCCATTCCCCGGCCACGGCCCATTCCCCAGCCACGGCCATCTCCCTGCCCTCTGCCCTGTCCTCTTCCTCTGTTTATATGCCCCTTGCCTCTATCTTCATGCATAAAAGATCCTTTCCCTCTGCCTTCTGGCCCAGGTAAGCCCTGGGTACTATCTGAATCAAGCAATTGACTGTCTGTGGAATCCAGATCCTCATTTCCTGTTACAGGGGTTACTGCACCTCCTGTCCTTGCAACACCTGACTGCAAAGCTACAGAATTACTAGAAACGGATGTTGAATTCTGGTTTGGAATAGGTGAAGTACTTGCTTTGGACTCTTCTACTTGCTCGTTAGGATCATGTGAACTCCATGTCCACTTTTTAGGAGGGTCTGAAGTGGTTTCTTTGACTTCAGCTTTGGATGGTTCCTGTTGAGTGTTTGCCAGGTCTTCATTTGGCTCAATGGAACTGGTACTCTTCACATCAGGAGGTGACTGTGTTCCACTTACAGTCTGCTGATTGCCAGCTACGTCTGTAAAAGGCTCTTTGTTTTCTGATCTCGAGTCTGTTTGTGACTGCTGCTGTCCTAAATGAGGCCTAGGCCCCCTCCACCGTGGACCACCAGGTCGAGAACCATGAGCATGTGATGTATTTTGGGAAGTATAAAATTGCCCTGCTGGTCCACGTGGGATATTGCCCCATCTACTCGTATGCTGTCCATCAGTATTCTGTCGGTCAAAACGTGACCTGTGTCCTTCTGAGCGCTGGGAGTCAAAACGGGGCCCTCTCGGTCTTGAGCCTTCAAATTTGTCATATCCTCTTCCTCGAGGTCCATCAAACCTGTATATGAAATAAAGGCAATTTTACTCAAATGAATATGTCTAATTCTAAAAGATTTCACACCTCCTCGATTTAACTGATGTACTCTAGTGTGCCTTTGAACCACTGCAGAGGCATGGAGAAATCTCCATTTCAACATTGTACAATGAAGACATTTAAACCAGTTGCAGACCCTAAAAACGAAACTTGACTTAAGTATCTCAGGATTTAAATGTGACTTTAAAAAGGGAAATAAAAACCCACAAACCTTCCAAAGTTGATTGAGAAAAGTTACAGCTTTTCTGTTTTGTCAAAACGAACAGAACTTGCTGAACTTTTGCTTATAGTATTAACTATATAACAAGCTTACTTCACTATGGTGATGAATGGCATACAGGAAAATCTGCACATACTTACAGAAAGGATCTGTTTAACAGTTCGTGATATTAAGTTCCATGCAAGACAATATGCTTAAAACAAGTGCATTTTTATGGCATCTCTTTTTTTTTAATTCCTTTTGAAAAAACCCACAACTGCCCTTGCTTGAACACAAGTCAAGCAAACAAAGAATAATTCAGTCATATAATCAAAAATCCAACCCTTAAGCATATGCACAAATACTGATTTACCTACCAGGCTATAACAAATGAAATTAATTTCACACAAAATATAGAACTTGTGCCTGAAGTGAAATTGCTTGGATGTTTGGGATTTACAGTTGTGTCCCACTGGATATCAATTCATTATTGTCTACCTACCAGCAGCAGTTGACTTGCTGCAGAAATAAACGTTTCAATGAACAATTTACCAAATTAGATCATTTACACAAAGATCATTTATGTCAAAGAATTTTAATAATCCTCTTAAGATGAAAGGTAGTTTTGTTCTTTTGGAACAAAACTGCCTTTTGTTTGGGGTGAAGGAGGTCAAGATAAACAGGGTGAGAAAAAAAAAAGAAATTGTAAAGCATAGTGGCAACATACCTTGAATTTTAAAGATCAGTGTTTACATGGAAGGTATAACTAGAAGAAAAGTTTGAGTACTGTAAGATGTTCTTCATCCCCTAAATTCAGAAAATTAGTTTAAGGAAATTCTTTATAGATTTTTGAGAAATGTTAATTGCTAAAATGGAGTGGATGGATGTCTTCTCATACATCCAATCATTACCTGTAACTTTGGGATAGTACCAGTTAACACACTACATTTTTAATTTACCACAAGTTCAATTAAAAATATATTTCTATGGCTGATACTGAGAACAAATAGTAAACAAATTTTTGGGAAAGCCATAGAATAGTCATACAATCACAATAGAGCTCAAAAGTTACCACGCTGTTTAAATACTTCAAGTGTCCTCATAAATAAAGCCACGGTATGCACTTTCTAGAAATTCTTGATTATCAAATAGCCTATTGTTACACAATACTGAGTTCTTAACTAATGAACAAGTAAAAAAATGACTTGCACTAGCAAATTATAAAGACAGTCTTTGCCTAACTGTACAACCAAAAAATGGATTTCTAATCCCCAGTACCACCTTTTTTTTTTTTTTTTTTTAAACCCATGAAGAGACAGAAAATTACTGAAAGCGATAAAAACATTAATTTATGTTGCTAATACTTCACAAGTTAGGATTCATGAATGATCACTCTGGAAGCAAAGACAACGCAAATGAACATGACGATATAATCAAAAAAATCCAGCAGAGTATGCAAGGATAGAAACAATTTAATGGAATAAAGTCTACTTTCTGGGTTTTTTGTTGTTGTTATTTTTTGTTGGTTTTTGTTTGTTTGTTTGTTTGTTTTCAAATTCGGTAAGCATCACTTCAACCAGCCTTGAACAAATGACCAGGCAGAACAGATGCTGTTTTTCCAAACTGATATCATGACAATTACGGAAAGAAGACAGTTCAAAAACCAAGATCTTAGGTCCAAGCATGTAGCAGATACAGAACACTGCCTTTTAGAATAAGGCAGCAGATCATCTACTTGAAAAAATGCAGATTTAAATTTCAGTATAACTCTATCTTAATAAAGACAGTTACCTTCAAAATCAAAACTATCAGATGTTATAGAAAACAAAAAGAATCCCAATATTAGGCAAAGGCTCAAATCTTCATTTCTTTCCTTCTTTTCCATTTATAACTGTTTGAATGCTATGTAATGCTACACATGTGGAAAAACAGTGATTTGCATGCAAGACAAAGACCACTGCTCTCTTATCCGGCAGCCATTTTGGAAAGTGCAGCAAATAGGAATAAGATGTAGTTACAGAATTCTCTCACACCAAGAGAAGTTAAAGAAAAAGCACAGGTGAAGCACTCTTAGTTTTACCATTTCTTTGTGCATTCGATGGATTTGGATGACAAAGAATAATTGTTTCTCTTCTCAAAACTAAATTTCTAGTAATAAGCTATGATAGTATATTTAACTAAATAGATATCTGGATGCATTCCTGAACCCCTTTCAGAATGCACACAGTGAAGTGCCATTATTTATAGCAATGACTTAAAAACAATCCCTCAACACTTTTGCTTTAGATATTCCTAAATTGTGTTCCAAGTACCACCTATGAAATGCTGGGAATTTATATGGCCTTTTGTGAAAGGTCAGTCTTCCAAATGTGAGTTATCATCTTTAAGCTAAAGACAGCAAAGATGCATAAAATACTTACAGCATCTTTCCTATTTTCATAAAAGAAATATTTTATCTCTGAAAATTAAAAGCACACTGAAGCATTTTACTACAGAAAGAGGAGGGAAAAAAAAAAGTGTTCCGCTTTAGGAAATGGTTAGGTGAACAGCCATTACTTATCTTCGCTGTAATCAGATCAATACAGACCATAATGTGCAGACATTACAACAAAACCTCTGCCAAACACAACTCATGTGACCTCAGGAAAATCGGAGAATAAGACAATGTTTCATTTCTTAATATATCACCAAAATGCATTTAGCCTCAAACATGTCTAAATCAACAGAAGTATCCTTACCGAGGACCTCTGGGGCCTTCAAAACGTGCTGATCTGGGAGGATCTGGAAGCAATCCACCTGATCTCACTGGTTTATCCTGCATGGTAGGTGTGTATGTTGAAGACAACGCAGAAGGGGTTTTCAGTTCCCCACATCCTTGCTCAGTTTGTTTATTATGGTGAACTTGAGACTTTCCGTGGTCTGAAGAACTGAAGGATGAACTTCCTTGAGAATGATAAGCTGAATACACAGGTGAACTAGATATTTTTGATGCATAGGTACCAGGAGTGGGAAGCAGAGCTGGCCTTGGTGTTTCAGTAGATTGACTGCTTTGAGAACTGGATCCTGAAGGGACAGAGGAGTTGGATAACTGAGATACAGACGATAGAGGTGGGGGAACCAGTGGAGGTGTAGTTGAAGGCAAAGTTGGAGGCATAACAGGAATGCCACCCTGAGCAGATTGGGAATACGGAACAAATGGAGGTGGAAGTGAAACATTTGCAGGATACTGATTCTTCAAATTTTGGAGTGAGCTCACTTTCTCCTGCAGATGGGACTGAGTGACCTTCATCTGTTCATCCCATGCTTTCCACTGTTTCTCATACTCCTGAAGTTGGTCTTTATGAGGATATGTTTGAAGCTGATGCTGCCACTGTTGGTTCATTGATCGCTCCCAGTCTTTATGAAGCTGCTGGAACTGTTTTTGCTGTGTTTCATAATGTCGCAGCTGCATCTCCACTGACATTGTCTACAATAAGAATATAGGAATAACTTCAAAATACCATTTGAGTTACTGTCACAGTCACACATTTTAGTGTTACTCCTCCTATCACCACTTCCAACTTTTGCAGATACTTGAGGAAGAACTACAATCAAACAAAGCAAACTCTGATGCCTAACATTAATTTATCCATTGTATCACTGGAGGGCAAGCATTTATGTATAGAAGACCATTTTGTTTTATACAGGAAAGCTGAAGAAAGCTATAGCCAAAGGCCTTCAAGTTGTGTTATTACTTAATGCTAACAATGCCCAAATCAATTTTCACACTTCCAGTACATATAGTATGTGACTACTTCCCAGGGTTTCAATTTCTAAACTTACTAACCTGCAGAGAGTTGCTTCAGCTACAAGCAGTCATTTTTCTCTAAACCTTTTCTGGATGACATAATTTGCACAGTCAAGTCAGTTTTTCCTCAGATGCTAATACTGATGGGCTTGACCTTTTCTAAGATTTTGGGGGTCATACTTCCAGATTTTTTAAATAGACAGCCCAAGCTATAAATAAATGCTCAATGTACAAACTCTTCCAATTGAGAAAAAGCTGGTTCAACTAATACAGCAATCAATGTCTACTTAAAAACTTAAAGGTTTCAACAGTGATATAATCATCCAAATTTGTAATTAAGACTTCTACTTCTACTATAGGGCAGCTACCAATTTACTTCACACAATCACCTGCTCACTTTCTCCTGGAAAGTGAAAACATCAGAAAGCTGAGTCTGAAGGTCTGTATTGTATCCAACCCTGCACCTGCATCACTCAGATATGCCTGAAAATCTTAAAAGTGTAAATTCTTATTTTCACTATCCTACTAAAGATTCGTCATCACCTCTCAAGCTATTTTTTTCATTATAAAGTTGAGAGATAATAGGAAACAGGGATATAGACTTCTGACCACGCAGCAAAAGTAATTAGACAGATAAGCCAACCGTGACAAATTACTCAACTACTCATAGTGTTAGGTCACTCACAAAATATATCAAATACCATCTCCTGAATGTTTCACCTGTAGATGTGGAGGCTGTTGCATGATTTGTTGATACTGCTGTACTATCTGCTGCAGCTGGGCATGCTTCTGCATTATTCTCTGGTACTGAAATCCAACTCGGTGATGGGGATGCTGCTGCCATTGAGCTGCTGCTGCTTGCAACTGCTGCAGTCTCAAATCTTCCTCGGGGTCATCGGGAGGATCAATATTAAGCTAGAGAAACAGGTAAATACTATAAATAAAGGAAGGCTGCTTCTGTCAGAAGAGAAAACACTTGTTTGCTACTCAGTTTACAAGAATCCTCTCAGCTTTCATTATCTTATCACTCCGTATTCCAGTGTTCTGATTTTTATCTCCTTTATTCTTGTGTAGTCTGATCTAAAGGTTAAGCAGATGGGGATTAGGTTTTTCATACATACAGAAACTAACAACAGGTAAGAGATTAACACAGATGTGCTCTGTGCTGCTCACAGCAAATGCAGTGAGACAACTGTGCATTTTCATGATGAAACAAAGTAATTCTAAGTGCATAATTTTGCTGCTTGATTAGAACCTGCATATCATAAGTGAAAGCAGAGCACATGCTGTAGGGCAGCCTATCATGCTGCAGTAATCTGCTGAAACATTGAAATAATGACCTCCATCCATTATGTAGAAACTATCATTAAGTACTCTGACAAAATACTAAATACTCTGTATAAAGTTCTTGGCTTCCAGACAAACCGTAAGACACAGAGAGAAAGAGAGCCAGACCAGACAACCAGCAAGAGAAGCACTGAAAACAGCATCTTAAGTATAGCATTCCCCATTTACAGAGTACTTGATTTTGCACTTCGGCGTCACAACGTGTTTCTCATAGAGAAAGATGACAGTGCTGGAGAAGGTGCAAGTGAGTCAAGTTTGGTGCATGTCTGGGTGTCTATGTAAGTCTAAATATGATTAATGTATTTTTTAATTTATTGCTGTAGCCTTAAATGTTCTTTTAACATCGTTTTACCGTATTTCTTATTATACAGTATATGAGAATTTGATGACAATATTTTCCTGTATTTTGTCCCATCTAGCACAACACACACAGTGGCACCTCTCTGCAAAACCTACCTGAGTTTCAGTGGATGTAAGAGAAGACTCATCTTCTTTAGATGCTGGAGGCAAGGATTCATTAAGCGGAGGAGGTTCAGACTGTGGAGTTGAAGCACTCATTTTCCCTTCTTCAGACTTTGCTCTCTGCTCAGATGAATCCTTCCCTACTCTTGGGCCTTTCATTTGCTGCTGTCCCTGAGCATGGGCTTTTGCTCTTTGCTGTAGACTAAGCAAGTGCTGCTGGTACCAGTATTGCTGCTGTTCCTACAATAAACAAATTTTCTAAGACAAATGGCTTTCAGCAAAAAAAAAAAACAAACAAAAAAACAAAGAATTTTAATTTATGATAGTCATTAATAATCACGCCGAATAAAAATATTCTAGAAAAATGTTTATATTTGTTTCAAGAAAAAACTCATTTCATTATCAGCAGTATTGCAATGAAGGTAAAAAGATTTAATCAAAATTCAGATAGTGATACATGAGGCATGGAAGACACAGAAGAATCTATTCCCCACTCCAAAGAGATTTCAATTAAGGAAAACAAAAACAAAAAGCAGAAAAATAACCAAGTAGTAGAGACATGTGGTAAGTACCATGCTTGCTGATTTTAATGCTTTTTATTCCTAGTAAATGAGTGTACTTACTAAGAGACTAACTTAGGGAAAATGAAGGGGAAAAGGAGGACAACAAATACAAGCAGGGGAGCAGTAAAAAGGATAAAGTGTTCAAAAAGATGATGAGCATGAACAGAGAACACAGACCAGTAGTGTGAAAATGATGGCAGAGTAATCATGGTGGAAATATTTGAATAAAAGTTGGGATAGGAAAAAAAAAAATATGACCCAAAAAACAGCAAAGAAGTTTCTTCTTTTTCTTTTCAGAATCTGATTTCTGATTACTCTGAATTATTCCCAGTACCTAAAAGGGACCTACAAGAGAGTAGGAGAGGGACTCTTCATCAAGGCGTGCAGCGACAGGACATGGGGGAATGTCTTTAAATAAGAAAAGGGGGGATTTTAGATTAGGTATTAGGGGGGAACTGTCTACTCAGAGGGTTGTGAGGCCCTGGCAGAGGCTGTCCAGAGACCTGTAGGCCAGGCTGAATAGGGCCCTGGGCAGCCTGATATGCGGGAAGATGTTTCTGCTTATGGCAGGGGGTTTCAAGGTGATATTTAAAAGTCCCTTTCAATCCAGATCACTTTGTGATTCTACAATTAATATTCAGCAGCTGAAAAAGTAGATATGGCTCCATCCAAAGAATTCTCCATCTAAGATGTGGCTCAACTTTCAGTTTTAAATAATTCAGGCTACAATAAGAGTACTGTCAGTACATGACAGCAGCTTCAAAGCACTGTGAGATGCCACTAAAGTAAAGAATAACAGACTAAAGAGGAGTATCTCAACATTTACAGGACCATGCACATTAGAGAGACCCAAGCAGGAACCAGTAGCTCTCTTCATCTTGTAATAAAGAAATCCCACGCGTCAATCAGACTAGCAGGAAACAGACTTAAAGCTGGTGGGAGGCAGATCTTTACCTGACAGCCCTGAGCTATGCAAGCCCCTGCCAGAGAACTGCAAGCAATGAACTGCCATGGAGTCAAGGCACAACCACATAAGCTCCAAGAAGAAAAGTCTCCAGATTTTACAGATAAAGATACCACATGCCAAGGGCAGCTCCTATATTTTAGAGAAGCATCACTATTCACTTGATTTGTGAATTCTTCTCTTAGCATCTCCTTTTAGTCACTGTTAAAGTCAGAATAATAAAACACTACTTTTAGTCTGACTCAGCGCAACCACTCTTACGTTCTCATGTCAGTTCCGCCACCTTTGAGAATCTGTGACTGCCCTGCAGCTTTCATGTCCTCTGTCCTTCCTTTCCGTCTAGGCATACACCGATGAGAAAAACAATTTGTAAAAAGCCTCCTCACAAACCGAAAAGAATCCAAAAGACAGGGATGCAAGGAAACCAAAAGAAAAAGAAAAATGGTAACAACGGTGGTAGGCATTGTCTGATGGGATTTCTCAAAATTGAACTATGCAATTTGTCTTTAAACAGGTTCAAGAGAAGCACAAGCTTCCCCTGAGAGCCCACCTGACACTCAGAACGGGACTGCGGGTTTCCACTGCCAAAAGCCTAGCAGACACAAACATACCAATGTTTTTTGAAAAAATACTTCTGTAAAGGCTGCAACTTGGAGATGAGATCAGTAAGTTTCAGCACGAGGGAGGAGCACACTATGCAGCTATACAAAAGATGTTTACATTCATCCCTCTCAAACAGCATCATAAGGTGACTTAGAACAAAGGTGCTGGATGCTGTGCTTCTGGAGGAATGACCACTGAGCACCTGCCCCACCGTCACAGAACTCTCTTCATCCAGAGACACAAGAGATCCTCCTCAAACAATTGGATAAGAGGTGAAAAATCACAGTATGACCGGTGATTCACACAAGGACATTCACACACAGCAAAGTATCCTGTCTCATAGTTTTCACAGCAGATGAAGTCAGTAATACATGCCCTGCAGGCTCTAACAGAGAAGTGAGAAAAAAGTGAAAACACGGGTTTCCGCAGCTCCTGAACATAACAGAAGCACTGATGTAATGCAGAAGAGTCCTGACAGCACATTCAGTTATTTGAGCATTTACTCCATCTTTGGCTGACCAAGAAACTATGCCTATTGCATTACACAGAGGCTGAAATCAGCACCACAACAGATGTGACCAGAACACGTCACCAGAAGCATGGTTCTGAGGAACACAAGCCTGCACCACTGAGAGATTTCAATGCACCCAGTTCTCTGCATGTTACAATGGCTGTAAAGTCACTCTGACAAAGACCCCAAATTCTCAGTAATCTGGTTTTCTCTCCTCCTAACATTTATGACACTTCTGGCGACACAGTGGGGGGACAAACTACTTCACTGTTCGATCTGAAGTTTAACAATTCAAGAATTCAGCCGCACCTTCAATGCTATTCAATTTTAACATCTGAGTTGTCAAGGTTTTGGTACTAATTATGAGCCCCATCGGTGTCCCTGGAAGAGATTAACTAGCACTGTCCGAAGTCTTTGTAACATTACATTTGTGAAATAAAAGCACTCCGCCACTAAGCAGTGATTCATTATATGGTACAAATGTAAAAAAGATACATTTCCATTGCTATTTCTGTACAGGTATGAAAGTCTAATGGATACAAATTAAAGATGTCCCAAGGATTAACAAGGTTAATCTCAGTGACTGATACAAAATTTCTACAAATTTTCTTCAAATCGGAATCCAAGGAACAACTGAATCTGTGCATTTCAAGCTTAAATAAGATCTATTCACTCTTAAGAGTATTTATGCTTTGTTCTTGCAGCTGCAACTACACGAGCTGACCCCAAAGGGCTGCAAAAGCCCCAGCAAAGCCAAGGGTGGCATACGCACTGCTGGGGGCTCCGCATGCTTCTGTCCACACTTCACCAACGGCACTGTGCCCAAATTCACGCATACAGAGCTGCACTGATGTACTCACACTTGGACTAACATTAGGCAGTCATTTTGGCCATGTGTGAGAACTATTATTTCAGGGTATCCCCTAAGAAGCTCCGTATCATCTTATAGTGGAAGACTGAACCCATGTGGGGGAAAGTGTATTTCCAGAAAGTCAAAGGGAACAGGGTACCACCGCAGGTGGACTCGTGCAGCTTTACCCACAGCTGGTAGGATCAGTCACGGCTCCACGCCGACCACACAGACCGGCTGACACACGGTCCCCGAAGGAAAACAGACTGAAGAAACCACACGATGCGCGCCACTGGCGCACACGATACCGCCGCAACCCGCGGAAGCCGGACGGAGCCCTTACCTGGGGCGTCATCGTGGCCGGGTCGGGCTGCGGGGTGCCGCGCTGCTCCGCGCCTCCCTCCGAGCCTCCCTCGGGCACGGCGGCGGGCGGGGGGGTGAAGCGGGGCTGGGCGGCCTTGGCGGCGGGCCCGGGCTGCGAGGGAGAGGCCTGCGCGGGCAGCAGGTAGGGCTGCGGGGGGGGCAGGTAGGGCTGCGCGGGGGGCGGCAGGAAGGGCGGCGCGGCGCCGCCCGGGGGGGGCTCCAGGTAGGAGGGGGGCGGCTCGGAGAAGGCGGGCGGCGGCTGCGAGGCCTGCGGGCGGGGCAGGTAGGGCTGGGACGGCGGGGAGGAGGCGGGCGGCGGCAGGTAGGGCTGCGCGGGCAGGTAGGGCTGCGCGGCGGGCTGCGGGGACTGCGGCGGCGACGACAGCTCCATGTCCATGGGCACGGGCTCGGAAGGCGCGGGCTCGCCCCACTCGCCGTGCCCGGCGGGCGGCTCCGCGCCGTCGCGCTCCCGGGAAGCGGCGGCGGGGGGCGGCTTGCGGGCGGCGGGGGGCGGCTCCCGGTGGGAGAACTGCTTCTGGTAGCTGCGCACCGGCGGCGGCGGCACGGCGGGCGGCGGCTGCTGCCAGTCCGGGAAGGAGCCGGGCAGCGGCGGCGGCGGCAGCCCCGGGGGGGGCGGCCCCGGCGGCGGCGGCGGCCCCAGCAGCACGGACTGCAGCTGCTTCTGGTGCATCTGCTGGAGCTGCTGCAGCTGCGCCAGGTGCTGCTCCTGCAGGCTGAGGAAGCCCGAGGTGCCGCCCGGCGGCGGCGGCGGAGGCGCGGCGGCGGGGGGCGCGGGGCCCGGCGGCGGGTAGCTGGGCAGCGGCATCGGCGGCACGGCGGGCGGCGGCACGCTGGGCGGAGGGATGGGCAGCGGCGGCGGCGGGATGGAGGTGGGCGGCGGCGGGTAGTGCCCCGCCGCCCCGTAAAGGCCCCAGGCCGGGTACATGGCGGCGCCGCGGGCGGCCGGCGCGGAGCGGAGCGCGGCGCTTCCACAGGCCGCGGCGGCGGCGGCGCGGACGGCCCACGGCGCCTGCGCGGGGCGGCGCTCCGCCCTCTCGGGCAATAGAGCGGCGCGAGAGCGGAGCTAGAGCGTCGGGAGGCGTCTCCCGGCGGGCGGCCACGTGACTGCGGGAGGGCGCCGTGCCGCCGGCGGGGCACGTAGAGAGGGAAGGAAGCGAGGGCAGAGCGCCGTCCCCGCGCTTCCGCCCGCTCCTAATCGGCTCGGCCGGGGGAGGTAGGCGAGAGCGGCGGGGCCGGGCCGGGCTCCATCATGTGTGGCGGGAGATTGAACGGCCGGGCAGCGCCGGGTTCTACCGCCAGCCGAGTCCGAGTCCGTGAAACTCGAACGACTGTTCTGATGCTCCACCTCTAGTTGATGGCTGGAGAACTGAGCACCTCCCCCCAGTAGGAAACGACAGGAGTAGAGAAATCCAAAGCTTTGTAGGCAGGAGGAAGGTCAGGAAAAAGCTTTGTCCTCTTAGATGGAAAAGCTGGGCTTCGTGTTGAAATGACACATCGTGCAGATGTGAAGCTATGAGAAAAAGCTTCCAGCGAAGTTTGAACTCAGTTATGAGGCAACTCTTTGGGAAGACCACCCTAACACGCACACACAACTCTGTTCTTGTGTATCCTTTCATTTCATCTAGCAATTGTAAGCATTCTGCCGGCGGTCAAAACATCCCACAGGTTCATCAGGTTGCTGTGCCTTTGACTTCTCCAACGCCTAAGAAACTTCTGTCAGGTATTAACCATGACCAACAGTCTGTTTCTTCTCCAGCCTCCTTCAGTCTAAGTTATCTCAAGTTATCTACGTAGGGAAAATTCTAGATAATTTGTACCTGAAGAAGTCTTTTAGAACTATTATTTGGTTTTATTCTGAAGACCAAATAAGCAGATCTAATCCTACAGCTATTTCTCAGTCCTTATTTGAGAATGTGTGGCCTTTAAGTGTTCATGGCAATAGTTTTAGCTTAAAAAAATGTGACTTCAACTGAGAGAAAAAAATGAAGGAAATAAGGAAATTGTTTTTGAAATGTACAATTTAGCAGTATCAAAATTCAGGCTGGTTGGTAGCTTCTTTCTGTCTGGAGGTGGAGAAGTGTGAGAATGGTATTATTTCAGGGATAAGATTAGGTGAGCTTGCAGCAAGCAAAAAGGGCAAGTCTGATGTGTTCACTAAGTTTCCTGCAATATCTGTAAAGACAGGTGCTAGCATTAAGTTTATTAGCTTGTTGGAGCATTTTCCAAGGACAAGAAATTATTAGCAGAGGAGAGCTATTACCTTCACTGTGTGCTGCCTGCCTTTAGGGATGTGAGTTCAGTCATACTCTGAAGACTGCACTAGAGGGGTATTGCAAGATATAAATTCTATTGAATTTTAGTCTTTTTCTTAATTATACCAGGAGGATAAAATTTCCCCCTTTTCTCCATACCTCAACTCCAATATTTTGGCCAGGAGCCACGCTACAGCATGTGGGACTCTGACTCAGTTTCTCTCCTGTCTGTCCTAAAACAGTTCTCACCACCACAGAGGAACAGAGATCAGAAGAGCAAACTAAAAATAAAAGCCTAATGGAGAAGGTATGAAAACGCAGAACACACTTTCATGAAGACAGAAGCAATACATCTTAGAATTATTTTTTCCACTGCCTTTCTCTATGTGCTTTACCATGTCTTTCCCCTCACTCTTCTGACTACTTCCTCCCCACGTTACTGCCAACACTGCAGGTCTCTGTGAGTTTTACTCTGATTTCTCCCCACCTACTTTGGTCCCAGCCCAAACTAATACCTTTCAGTTTGACACTTTCCTGTATACAGCAGTACACTCCTCTTCCATTACATGAGACTTTAAAGCACCTAAGTATCACACAAGAGGGAGAGGCCTATCCCAGACCCAACAACACCAACATCTCTATGCATTTAAGCAAAAGGGTTGGGCTGCTGGCTGACCCAATAGACAGACTGTGAGATGATACCATCATATCTTAAATACAAGGTGCACTGGTAAGAAGAGATATTAAATATGCACTGAGCACCTACAAAAACAAGGGAAAATCTGTTCAGCGTACAGGGATGAACTGAGTTAGGGAACATGAGCAGGACACAACTTGATTTCATTCACTGTATTGAGATACAGTTAAATAAAAGCCTATCAATTCTCAATTAAAATCTACCAGACCATGGCTCCAGAGAAGGCAGTCTTGATGGCTTTCCCCCAGCATTCAGATTCCAATTTCCTTCTGGAGTAGATGCAAAGGAGTTCACCAAAGGAGTACTCATCCTGCTGCAGATGCAGGGATAAGAACCTTCTAATACCTCTGTGGTCCCACTCTCAGTCATAGCTGGAATATCACCAGTAGTTAATTCAGAATGATGAAACCCATCACCATGTGAGAACAAAGAGGGAGTTTGGCACATTCTTGCTCATAGAGTTCTCTTGTTCTGATATCCTTCTCCAAGCAGTGCAGTCAGAAAAAGATGAATAAAAACAGGCTCTTCCACATTTTTTTTTTTTCCTAGAAGATCAAGGCTATGAAGTCAATCCAATATCCTACAAACAGGGTTCCAGCAAGGAGGAAAGCAGGAGAGCTTGAACAAGGAGCCTTATACTGGCTCAGGGCCTTGGCATTCATGGCTTGGCTGGACAGGTTAGAACCGAGGAGCTCCATAATCATCTGGCATCCTCTCAATATTGTATCTGCAAAAGAGAGGGAAAACCCATTAAGTCAACCTACTCTGTGTTGTTCCCCTTTTAGTGCAGCAACATACTTATAGGAAGACTGAACATAAAACCGCTTTGCTGCATTTCTATCTGCAGCTCAGAACCTCAGGAAGAAAAATATTACCTCAGAGAAAACAAAAAAGACTTCATAAAGTTACCTCTATCCTGCAGAGTTCAAGTGTCAAGAAATCATTAACCCCAAAGAAGAAAGAAATGTTTTTCTAAGAACTGACCTAGGATTTAGGAGCAGAACGACTCTAGAGAATAAAATCCTGTCCATTCAACTTGTGACACATGGGCAAAATGAGTAAGGGTGAAGATGTTTTGAGGGAAAATATTCTATGCCATCTTCTACTTGCAGATCAATTAAAACCATGTATTTATAGCAATTAGCTTCCTCATTTCTGACATGCTTCTGTCTGCATTTTAGACTCAGTTTCCACTGTTAGCATACCTGCCTCCCAGCATCTTTCCTATCCCATCTAAAGACTCTGACCCTTTTCTCTCCACGTACTTATTTTTTTCTTTACCATGCTACCAAACTTATGTACCACACTTTGAAAGGATTTGACATAGGTTCTATTCAAGACAGAAGTTCTAAGTTGTACACGATGCAGAACAAATACTAAAACACTGGGTATGACAAATGAATGCTTTAGAAGGAATGGGAAACAAATTAAAACCAGTGTTGTTATAATATCTCACCAGTCTTACTGTATAGATCCATTGCTTTGAAATTGCTGCATCCTTCCAAGTTGCTTCAGCTTTTAGTTAAGAAGCAAATCCAGTTTCTTAGCCGAGGGTATGAAAAAATTTCAAATAGAACATGGAACAGGAAGTTTTCCTCAAGAATCTGTAGAATACATCTGCCCAATAGTCCTCCTACTGCTTATGCAAGATGTATCTATGGAAACACTGGTCTCAAGGAAAGAAGTTTTCCAGGTAGCAAATAAGTGGACTGCAATAAAAGCAAGTCTGCAACATGTCTCTATTCCAGCAGCAGCTATGCTTTCACTTTTGTGTGAACACAAGGCCCTTTATTACAACCTGCACTATAGACAATGTAGGGGAGAAGTACACTGGAATAGAGTCCATGGCAGACAATGATTCTGCCTGGCAGCATTCCTTTCTGTCAGAAGTCCCTTACCTGTGCCTGGAAATATACATTATGGGCACTCCTGGAATTTTTCGTATTCTCCGCTTGAGCTCTTTATCCACTGTGGCTACAATATAACATTTGTGCTGAAAAAAAGAGGCAAACCTGATTCAACACTGGTGCAAAAAAGTCAAGCAAAAGCCTCAATTCAATTAGCTTGTTTAACAGGAGACGGCTACCTGTCAATAGTAAGGCATTTCTAGGACTTGAAGTGAATTCCATAACAGATTAATAATATAATCAAAACAGACTCCAAGAAACATTCAAACACTGTCCAGTTTTTACAGATGACAGCTTTCCCATTCGAGATGCTTCTTGATGCTGTCTTCCACAAGAATGCTTGGGGAATATTATATCCTCCTCTCCAAATAAACTTGTGCTAAGTATTGAAAATGTCTATGAGATTTTACAGTTACTTTGCTGGAAACTTAAGTCATCAGTAACTAGCAGGGTTCAGGAATTTTTAGTGTGCTAGCATAGTATGGGTAAATACCTGAGTGACTCTCTGTACCAAACAGTCATCTGCATAGGTTCCTTTGTGCATACATGGCAAACGTTCAAACCGAGGGTCCTTGGCAATTCTGTAGGGATATGTATGTGCAGCATCACAGTGATCAGACCAGAAATGTATGGTAATATAGTATGGAGGAACAGAAACTCTCTTTTCTATGATATGAAGCATCTTATCCTCTAAACAAGGGCTTAAGCCATGGAGCCAATGGTACGTTCCAGTAACTTGAATTGATGAGCAAACATGCCTAAATATTTCTTAGTTCTTTTAAACTGGTTTCCAAACTCTGTAACGTTAAGTTCTTGCCTAACAGAGAAAAATCATTTGAAACAACTCATCAAGAACTAGGAGAAATTGCTGATCTTTTGTACCTTGTATCTTTTTATACAGGAACACTTCCCCTCTGAAGGGGAGCTTCAGAGATGTTCAGGGGCCACACTCATATATTTTACAACTCAACAGCTCAAATAAATGGTAAAGAACAATACAACTGAGCAGTAAACCTTGAGAGCACAAACCTCCCTGTGTTTTGTAGATATCACACAATGACACAACTCTACATTACCAGTACATGCTACCTACTGCAAGAGGAAAAATATGAGGCATAAGTGAAAAGTTCCAAAAGATCTGAGTCATTTCTTCCTTTATTTTTATAAATTTTTACAATTAAATATTTAGAGAAAAAGAAGAAAATGTTATTTAGAAGGTCTGAGGGAAAAAAAAAAGAAAGATTTATAACTGGATAATGTACCTAGTATATAGGTTTTCAAAATGATCTAAAACTGAACTCAAAGAACTAAGCTCAGAAAGCCAGAGAAATAAAATCAAGTTCAAGACCTAAAATTCATTTGTACAAGAGCACCATCATAACAAATTTCTTTCATTTCTTTATATTAAAATACAAAGTTCTTGAAGCAGAGAGGAATACTGTGCACATACCTTAATGCCACGCGATACCTCTGTCCTAACTTCTCTATTTCAGCCATTACACAATCTGTGATACATGGAATACCTACATGCAAAAATGACAGCATTAAAAGCCTGTATTAGAACAAAACTGTATTTCTCTACAGATCTCAACAGCACAGCTCAGAAAGTTTTATGTCATAAGCTCTGCATTTATTTATATTTGCAGTTCTAAACTTCTAAGATCTGCTAAAGATACAAAATGATGAAATGTAAAGCCACGGAGCAGCAGTTGGGCAAATCCACGGTAATTTTAGATTTTTAAAATACCACTGCTTTACCTTTCTTGAAATTAGTATTTAAAACCATTGACTGTCAGAAAACAAAGATAGTCTCAGGGCTACCACAGGCATCCCCAACAAGCTCTGTGATTATAGTACATATTTTATTAAATATTTCTGTTACCCTCAGTTAGTGTGGTGAGGCCAAATAGATGATTCATGGGCACATCATGGCACCATGTAATCTGGAATCTGCAAGTGAGGCAGACACTTACACTTGGCATAGAGGCAGTCCATCATAGACTGCACAAGGTCCAGCTTGGCCTTGATGGAGAAGTTGATGAAGTTGGTATCCACTAAGATGTGGTAAGGAGGCCCCAGCTGTGTATTGTACTGGAAGAACAAACACGAGGGGTGCTGAGGGCTGTAGGGAAGAATACAAATCGATTAACTGTGATCGACATCACACCAAATCCTACAACGAAGGAGGGGTACGAGGCCGACACCTTCCAGGAGGCCGGCACTGCGGCACTTACACCTCCCGCTCCTTGATGGCGCTCGGATCCTCCTTCTTTTTGGCGGGGGCCTTGGCCCGTTCTTTCTCATTTCTGCAAGGAAGAACACGCACCGCTGGGGCGGGGCAGCAGCGAGCCTCGATGGGACCCCCGCGCCGCCGAACGGGCCGCCAAGTTGCGGGGCGCCGCCTGAGACGGCCTAGCAGTGGGCTACACTCACATGCGCTGGTCACGCAGGCTGATCATGCGCTTCATCACCGCATACTTCCGCGCCTTCTTTTGCTTTCCCTACACGGAGACACAGACGCGGTGAGCAAGAAGCAAGACGCAAGACCCCAAGACCCAAAGACCCCCGGCCCGCCTCACCATGCTGCCCAGCCAGCACTTCCGGCGCCGCCAATGTGCGTCACAAGCCCCTCCCCCTGTGAGACCCGGGATTACCTCACTTCCGGCCGCCGGCAAGGGGTAGCGGTTTCGCCGCTCTGTCAGCGGGGTGTTCGGTAAGGGCGCTACCGGTCTGGGAGCGGGGGGGGGAGCGCCGCCGCAGAGCGTGGGGGTCGGCACATCGGGCTCGGGCCTAAGAGCGCTGAACTCGACGTGCTGCGGCCGCTCCGCTTCTCGTTCGCTGCTGCCACAGCCGGGTTCGGGGCTGCCTCTCTGAGCCGGGGGCCTCCCGAGGCCCGGAGCCACTTCTGTTCGCGGTGCCGGGCGCCGGGCTGAGCGGAGGAGCAGGGGGTGCAGCTCTTTCGTAAGCTCGCCGGGCTGACGTGTGCTGGGAAACAGCGCCGTGCTGGAGGTGCTGTGCTGATGGGCTTCGAGGAGAGCAGCGGGGATGTTGGTACCTGTGCTTCTTTGGAGGGTCTGTGGCCCTCAGTCTTACTAAGCTGTGCTTTCCGCTGGCGGTGCGACTTGACCTGTAACAGCCCTTCTGCACGGGGAAGGAAATGCTTCTAATGTCCTTGCACTTGGGTTCTGGTGCCCTGTGCACGAGGGGTGAGGCAGGACTCGTGGCTCCTGTCTTCACTGTGGGTTTTTCTGAGGTTACTGAAACCTGTAAGTATCTCCTAAATGTGGCCAGCTTTGTTTGACTTGCTGGTCACCAAATCAGCTCTGCAGTGAGCTCAGGTACTGCATGAGGGATTCCTGGCCCAGGGGAAGGGGCAGCCCAGGGGAGGGTCCTGTAAAGCAGCACCTGCTTGGCCTGGGGAGCAGCTTCCTGTCCTTGTGGTTGTTCACTTGCAGTGGGAAGTCCTTGGGTAGCTGACTGAGGTCTCTCTATACTATTTTATTTTATATTATTTTATGTTGCATGTATTTCTTTGGGATTGCATGTAAATGCATGTGTGATAAATGCCAGCTCTGAACAGAGAGGGGCAGATTTGTTTCGCGAATACCTTTGTCACTGCTGTGGCTTTTGTCCTTGAGGGCTGAGTCTGCTCTGTGCCTTTTGAGTTGACTCTTCAGTCTTCCGTGAGTGTATTTTAAAGCCAAGTTTCTATTTGTCCTTCTGTGCATTCTTTAATTAATGTCAAAAAATACTGCATCTTCTTGCTTGAAGGAGAATTGTCTTGTGTGTGGTGTGTGTGGCATGAGATGCAGTGGCTGCTGGTGGTGGATGTTTGCATGCATGGTTAGGGATGTTCTGCTCAGAGGTGTGGAATTCTGTCGTCTTAATGGTTCTGAAGCAATACCAATTTACAGAAAGGCTTTTAAACCATTTTTTAAACCCCAGCTGGTCCTGTAGTTGTAGCCATGTGAATGTGGCATCCTTGTTATAGCTCCTATGCACAGATGCATTGTTACTGCTTCCTGGAGCTTTGTCTTGTGCTCCCTTGACTTTACAGCAGCAGTAATGCAAACAAAATTTATTCTTGTTACTGGTCTTGTTTTCCTTTCTGCCATGAGAGAGGCAGTGGCACTAATGTTGTTTATCTTATGATTCCTGGCTGTCTATCCCAATTGTGCAAGGACTTCTCCTTGAGACAAACTACAGTGAAGCTTTCTAATTCCCCGTTTTCTATGCAGCTGGCAGGACACCATTGCCTGCTGTGTTCTTAAATCCAGATCACTGGGACCTGTGGGTCAATTCAGCATTTCTCAGCCTAGCTATGATGGCACCTTATGTTGCTGCTTTTATGAACTAGATTCCCAGGTTGTTAGCTGGCAGTTTTTAGCACCAATACTGTTTTAACTTAGCAGTGTATGCTGCAGCTTATCTTGAATGCTAGCTACTCACAGCTAGGAACTTTACCCAGGGAGCATCCTTAAAGCTGCTGCTGGCGTGCGTGCTTGAGGGAAGCCAACTGTGCCATGGCTGTTTCATCTCTGCTTGTTGCCCAGCTTGGCGCCTTGCCTGCCACTTCATGTGGAGATGATAGGATGAGAAGTGGCTGTGCCGACTGAGGGAGACGGCTTGCTAGATGCAGGGAATCATTCTGAAATTCTGCCATCCCAACCAAGAGGATTTTGTTGTCTTCAGATACACCTGCGTCTGGAATTAGGGTTAGGAACTAGGAATCTGGAATTACAGCTCTTTCTCTCCTTTCTGGAGAGAGGCTGTTATTTGTGGTGTGTTCTACAGAAGGGAGTTATGGGCCGAGAGTAGTATGGGTAGATGAACCCGTGATGGCAGTTTGATGCTTTTTGGGAACCCAAAGAAGCAGGTTCAGGGAGGGGATCTCACAGATTCCAAAGTGTTGATAACTTTCTGTGAAATTCTGCAGCTGTGCAGGGAGGAATGCACCCCTTTCACTGCCAATCCACTAAGGGGCAGTTTCAAGCAGGCTTTTGTAGCACACAGACAAGCACTGAAGACTCTGTACTTCAATGTTATCTAGGAGATACACTGTGGAATAACTTAAACATCAAAGAAATTGCTAATCTGTGATTCTTAATATACAGAGATAAGAGTTTATAAACCTGAGATACTTAAGGGGAGAATAAAAGCTTATGCACCTGGGGACTGCAACACTGTTCACTCAACTAGGGAGAAGAAAATAGCAGTGTAGGTGGGACTCTTCCTGAGATGTGGGGGAAGAGAAGGCAGCAAAATCTGACTTCTGCAGCACGGTCAAAAATTTACCCATTGTTTTGCCAATGAGTTAGAAAGCTTAGAGCCTGAGTGGAAGTGTGCAAAAGCAGTTGGCTTTTGATTATTGGGATGGAGAGAAATAAGAGACATCTGAAAAGAAGGGTGGATGAAGGGCTATAAGGGAAGTAGTGACAGCTGATGGGATGGTATGAGAAGCAAGAGGAGCACATCACTGGCATCTCTGCCAGAGATGGAACTCTGAGAGCTGCTGTGGTGACCCTGGATCTGTTCATTTCATTCTTGCTTCCTTACGTAATCTGTGTTCTGAATGTGTGCATACTGACTGCGTAGGCTCTGTGGCTTGTCTTCTGGTATATGTTCATGCTGTTAGATTTTACTTTTCTATTACTTTTATTATATTATTTTTGTTTGTTTGTTTTAGTTTATATTATTTTCTCTATTAAAATCTGAATTCTGACAGTAAACTGTGATTTAAGGGACAGTGCCGCTGAAACTGAAATGCCTTATGAACTTGTTTTCTGAACCCTTAAAACATCAGCAGCAAAAATTAGTTTGGGATAGTATAAGGCGTCCTGTGGCATGTGAAGGCTTGGAGCTATAACTGGTTCTCTGTGCTTTGAGTAGCTCAGAGCTTCTTGACTGCTCTGGGAAACTCATGAGTCCGATGAACCTATGGAGACAGGTTATTTGTTTGCTTTTATTTCCATCTTGAACTTTCCAGTTTCAACAGATCATATGGAATGAGAGTGTTATGTGGAGACTGAGAACATATCAAAGCCAAGTGCTTCACTGACTGTGATATCTTCATAGGATTGCTTCTGTAGGTTTGACATCTAGTGATACTCTTGCAGTGCACCTCTCACCTGTTTGTACTTGCTAGACTTGTTGTTAGTGACAGAAAGATCTAACTTTACTTTTTCTTCTTTTTCCAGGGAGGCTAGCAAACTACAGGCTACAGGGAGCTGTGCTTCAGAGCAACCTTTTTCCGCAAAGAGGAAGAGATTGCTGTGCTCAGGTCCTCACCTTTGAGCAGTTTTTCCTGTGATGCAAGTTCCAGGAGTTCTGTTTTCTGTGACAGTCTTTTTTATGGCTTCTTTGTGCTGACATTTGCCCCACTGTTGGGCATAAGGAGGAAGGATGCTGAAGAATGGGTACCACCCTTTTGGTTTTTAGAACATGGGCAGTTGCATAAAGGTAAGCTTTTTAGCCAGGGGAATGGAGTGTATGTGGGGGGCCAGTAAAGGGCATTTGCTGGGCTGGAAAATGATGGCTGTTGTTGTGACCTGGGGGATATATGCCTCATTTAAGCCTTCTGCATGCTGGTGTCCATTGCTGCTGCTGTTGAGATGACTGCTGAATAACTCCCCCTTTGTGTGTATATTCTTTTTTCTTTAAAGACAGTTTGAATGCACAATGTAGCTTCTCACTAACTGAATGGTGACTTGGTGAGCTATATTGGATGCATTAGTGTATGCCAAGTTGTTTGTCTGATTGTCACACACATTCGCTGCTACTGCTTGTTCCATCTGTCAGCTATGTCTTATCAACCATGAACATGTTGTTCAGGGTGTAGTCTTTTTACTACATGTTTGTTTAGCACTTCCCTCAGTGAGAATTTTAATTTTAGATTGGTGTCTCTAAAAATTGCTGTTATCTTAATAGTGTGCAAAAATCAAGGTTTTAGCTTGTGAGTTGATCAGCAAGAGTTTCTGCTTTTCAGAAGGGAGTACACAAAGGTGGACAGTTTTTTCTACTTTCTACAGTAGAGGCACAAGGCAGGAAAAAAAAATTAAAAAATTGATTTTGCCCTAGGAGGATTTTGTTTGTTCTCAACCAATCGGAATGGTCTTGTCCACATCCTTTTTATTCCACAGACTTTCTTCTAAAGTTGCTGGTTGAGGGTCAGTTTCTGTCCATTTTGATGTTGGCTCTGTTATACACTTTCATGGTAGTCTGGAAGTTAACTTCATGACTTGATTACTCTAGGTTTGAGATTTCCAATGAGTGGCTTTCAGATATTTCTGTTGAAATCCTGCAAAATTAGCTCATCCTTCAGTACCCAAAACCCATTGTTTGCTTTTGAGGATAATACATTGTCCTTTTAGATCCCTGAATTGGAACAGGAATCTGTGATGGTGCGAGATCTATTCCTTTTAGCGCTTTGTTTGTATATTTCAGTCTTATGGAATAATGCCTTAAAGATGTCCTTGGAGAAGAAGATAAATGATAGGTATTTGTCTGAGGAATCATAGACTAAATTTAGGCCAGTGTATGTGAGGAGGAGGTATTGGTCTGGACTTGGCCTATTTTGTGTTCTAGATGCAGCTGTGATCCTCGGCTTTGTGTCTCACCGAAGGGACCTGATGTTTTACATTATTGGTAAGTGAAGGAAAGGCTGCCACTGTGTTTGTTGACCTCTCCATAGGCATTAGAGGAATTTATTGAAAGCCTTTGATTTCATGTTAGAGTCTACCTAACAAACATGAAGTTATTGTCACCCTGCACTGTGCCCTCCATTTGGCAGACTTGCCCCTTTACCATTCTTCTTGTTTCCAAAGTTCTTCCATTGACCTCACTCCTAAGCCATCCCCTTACTTTTTCTCTTCAGAACTAGTGTAGGGTTGTTGCCTCCATGATGCTTCTTAATCCAGGCTTAATGTGATGTGCAGGGTTTGTGTGGCTATCTGACTGTTTCCCTTAAAGAAATCTCTGTAGTTCTAATTTGCAACTCAGAGGGAATTTCATGTTTTTGCTGGCCATGCCTGAGACTCTGTACCACCTTTGCCTATTTCTCCTCCACTTGCAATCAT